AAAAGCAGACTGGAATATAGCCACTGCATTTAAACATAAACAGTGAAATACGTGATGGTCACCTTGGACTGTCAAAGCCTCTCCAAACACAAACCATCTGAAAAAAACTGGAAACAAAAAGGAATTACTGTAGTGGCATACAAAAACATTTGCAAACATTGTTGTCAAACATAAACACTGATAACCAAACTCAACACATACATTTCTTCTCAAACAGCATGGTCAGAAAATGGTTGCCCTCCTACACTTGTGCAGCAACAACACAGCATACACTACACAGGACATTCAGACTCAGCTGAATAGGTCAGGGGGTGTTTCTATACATTTCTACCTGTCCCACCCTGATTAGGGTCCCTTGAGAAACACTGGCCAACAATTTGGTTGTCACATAGATGAAACAGAAAGTCATAGTGAATGAGAGGCTGATGATGTACAAATGAGAAGAGGAAAAGGCGGCAAACCTTTCAAATGTTGTAACCCAGACTAGATAAACAAAAAGGCCATCTATCTTGACACAACCTAGTCCAACAGCCCTATCCCAAGACCCAACTTTGGGTCCCCATCATTAGGGGAACAGTAATTTAGGTAAATACCTAATCTGCAAAGGGATTTGTGGTTAGACTTTACTTAAGTTGTTCTTATTTCTGTTTAGTACAAGTAACGCTGTAATTACATTGTCAAATACTGTAATACTTCAGCTTCCCAGCAGAGGGTGGGGCCGCATAATCAAAATATGTTGTAGATCTGGGAAAGTCATTGCATTTGTATAACAGTAGGTGCCTTGTATTTGAAGTATACATTTCTCTTTGTGAATTATAATATTATCTATAGCTCCCCATCGTCAATTTTAACAGTGCAGCTTGAGTCTTCCTCAATACTTGTTATTTGACTCCCTCTCACCCAGCAAACACCAAATTGATAATTAAAGGTAGACTCAGCGATATGACGTAGATGCAGAAAGTAGACGGCATAGTGGGTCAATTTCCACAAAAAACAACTAAGAGCGTTGAAGCGCCAGGCTCAACTTCTCCACTATGTTGGTGCCCTGGCTACCAAAAGCAAACCTATATACATGCACAGATACTGTGTGTGACTGTGTGAGAGCGAAGTCCTGCATCTCGCTCATGTCAATATTTGCTGTGCTGCTCGTGGCAACGTCATTTTGCTGAGTCTACCTTTAATGGTTTCTGATTTCTACAGCTGCACTAGATGGAGGATCCATGACACATACTGTATCTTAGGGGAGGCCCCCTGCCAAATCCCACAGCTGTTTGAAAATATATCTGGTGGATTCAAAACCTAGTGATGTGCAGATGTACGTCTTCTAAAGTATCAAGTCAAAAAGTATCACACATTTTCCCAGTTTCCCTTTGGAACACATGTAATACAAAACTGGTCCATATGATACAGTGGAAATTGGAAACAGCTGACAAGCAATATCAGTTCACTCATAGTGGTTATAATAAGTACTATCTAACAGTGTGCTCCTACACTAAACCTATTCATTTATGTTACCCATTTATCAAAAAATGTATAGGTTTTCGTAAGTAAGGACCCTATGAGAAAGTCATATACAGTGAGGGAAAAAGTATTTGATCCCCTGCGGATTTTGTACGTTTGCCCACTGACAAAGAAATTATCAGTCTATAATTTTAATGGTAGGTTTATTTGAACAGTGAGAGACAGAATAACAACAACAAAATCCAGAAAAACGCATGTCAAAAATGTTATAAATTGATTTACATTTTAATGAGGGAAATAAGTATTTGACCCCCTCTCAATCAGAAAGATTTCTGTCTCCCTGGTGTCTTTTATACAGGTAACGAGCTGAGATTAGCAGCACACTCTTAAAGGGAGTGCTCCTAATCTCACTGGGTGAAAGTGTTGTGGTCAGATGAGACCAAAATCGAGCTCTTTGCCATCAACTCAACTCGCCGTGTTTGGAGAAGGAGGAATGCTGCCTATGACCCCAAGAACACCATCCCCACCGTCAAACATGGAGGTGGAAACATAATGCTTTGGGGGGGTTTTCTGCTAAGGGGACAGGACAACTTCACTGCATCAAAGGGACGATGGACGGGGTCATGTACCGTCAAATCTTGGGTGAGAACCTCCTTCCCTCAGCCAGGGCATTGAAGATGGGTCGTGGATGGGTATTCCAGCATGACAATGACCCAAAACACACGGCCAAGGCAACAAAGGAGTGGCTCAAGAAGAAGCACATTAAGGTCCTGGAGTGGCCTAGCCAGTCTCCAGACCTTAATCCCATAGAAAATCTGTGGAGGGAGCTGAAGGTTCGAGTTGCCAAATGTCAGCCTCGAAACCATAATGACTTGGAGAAGATCTGCAAAGAGAAGTGGGACAAAATCCCTCCTGAGATGTGTGCAAACCTGGTGGCCAACTACAAGAAACGTCTGACCTCTGTGATTGCCAACAAGGGTTTTGCCACCAAGTACTAAGTCATGTTTTGCAGAGGGGTCAAATACTTATTTCCTTCATTAAAATGCAAATCAATTTATAACATTTTTGACATGCGTTTTCTGGATTTTTTTGTTGTTATTCTGTCTCTCACTGTTCAAATAAACCTACCATTAAAAATATAGACTGATCATGTCTTTGTCAGTGGGCAAACATACAAAATCAGCAGGGGATCAAATACCTTTTTCCCTCACTGTAGGTGTTGTAAATGTTACTTAATTGACCTTTCTCAACTGTGTCAGACACAAGTCATATGTAAGGCGTGATCCATTCTGATGGACTCCCAGCATCCCTTGTTTGATGAACATACAGTATATTGCTTCCCTCAGAGCGTAGATACAGGCTAAACTCTCCTTCATGCCAGCTGCTATCAGCTTTCTCAATAAGCTCTAGTAAGCTCTGTATGTATTGTTTTGGTGTATATTTATTGTCATGTGTTCAATGTGTTTTTACTACGTGCTGCTAAATGAATAGCCCCCTGGGGATAATAAAGACTCTACAGCAGATCTCAAGGAGGTGTGGAAACACAATCACCTAGATTAAGGGGCTAGCAAGACAGAGGATGACCAAGAGAATATGGTTTGTATGTCACAAATAGAGTGGCAAAATCCTGCACCAGTATTGCAGTAAAGCAGTATAATAGCTTATTAGATAGAGTTCATCATTTGGTGGTTTCTGTTCAACACATTTTGGGTGTTTAAGGGGTTAGTATCACAAGAACATCAAAGTTTATCAGACTGGTTTCTCTTGACAAAGTTTTGCAAGAGAAAACAGAAGTGAAGTCTTGATCTCGTGTTCTTGGCACACAATGTCTAGTCTTAGACATCATTTCGATACACAGGGTAAGGGTCTGGGACCTCGTTTCGATACACAGGGTAAGGGTCTGGGACCTCGTTTCGATACACAGGGTAAGGATCTTGGAACACAATGTCTCGGTCTGAGCCTTAGTCATGGACAAGAGCATAGTTTTTGTAGTCTCTCAACCCATGTGGTCAAGATACACCACTGAGTACCATCTCTTATCAAGATTATTGTAACTAACTAGGCGTGACAACTGTCTTGGTCTCATCTATAGCATGGGTCTGGGCCTCTAGAGGCTTGACTTCATCTCTGCGAGAAACATTAAGTTTGTCTGAATCCTAACAGTCAGAGAAACATTGTCCGATTGGCAAAACAACCAATATTTACAGGCAAGCACAACAGGTAAAGTTGAGACATGCTAGCGAATGGTTGCTATCAATTGCAATTGTGCTTGCTACTCACACAACACATTTGAAAGCTCACACGCACCAACATGTTTTAGTTTTATTACATACATATAACTAATACACATGCGTACAGTGGCTTGCGAAAGTATTCACCCCCATTGGCATTTTTCCTATTTTGTTGCCTTACAACCTGGAATTAAAATGTATTTAAATTACAGGTTGTAATGCAACAAAATAGGAAAAACGCCAAGGGGGATGAATACTTTTGCAAGGCACGATATAGCCTACTGTACAAATTGCATAGAAAACGCAATCATGACTAAGCATAGCCTACATCAGAACAAGATACATTACTAGAGTTTAGGTTAAAGACTAGGCCTATTCATACAATCAAACAACAAGCATGAGGTAATCAATCTTTTCTCAGGGGTGTATGGGCTGGGAACTCAGTATGTGTGAGCTTTAAGTCAGCTTAGTAGTATGAAGGGTTATGGAAACATACAACATATTTGGATAAATAAGGCATGCCTTTTCGAGCGGTGTGGTAGATAAGAAGCGGTAAGCGAGGCTCACAAACATTTTGGTTTATTCTGGTAAAACGTTTTCATTGGAATGGCTGGTATTCAGCACATTTCCTGTGGAAAGTTCTCCACCGTTTGGTGGAATGTAACCATAGACACATGCCATCTAACATGAGACCTCACTTGGACAAAAACATTAAATCTTTAGGCCTAAAGGTTAGAAATTAAAACAGAGTTGACATGTTTTTTAGCTACAGTTGTGTATGATGCTATGTATGTATGTGTGTGTTTGTGAGTTAAACAGAGTTTACATGCCCTCACAATTCTATTCCTGTGTGTGTGCTGTGTGTGCACGTGCAAGCGTGCATGTGTGTTTGTCTCTGGATGGGCTCATCTCTTCTCTTCCACCAGCAGCTGGAGCCTGTCCTCTCTGTAGTGAGGGGTACTCTGGCCAGTCTCAATGGCCTCACAGTCATCTGTAAAATACACTAGGTCCTGTGGGGAGGTCAAACAGTCACACTTAGGCATACACAACATCTCCAACTGCAGAATGTGGCTGAGCAAAGCTGACTGAAATGTCGACAGATAATAAACTATAGAAGCAATCACCAGAAATGGTCATTGTCATTGTAAGGGTTGGCAAGACAGCACAAACTGATCTGGAACCAGGCTAGTAATTCCCTGCACCACATCCAGAGTAGGCTATGACATACTTTTTTTATTTGAAAAAATTAAATTCTGGCTATGAGAGAGACAGTATGGTTCATTCCTCTGCAGAGCTTAGCAGACATACCCGATAACAGATTCTGTTGATGATTGTGTACAGGTTGGTGACTTTGCGCTTCAACAACATGATCCTGGGTCGCTCTCTGCAGTAGTGCGTAGGCAGGTTCTCCATGACATAAAGAAAGTCACGGAGCTTGGTAATGATGCACGAATTCTATAGGGAAATAATAATGGCATTGTAAAACCTATAGCTCAATGAATATTATAATATTTTGAATCAAAGGTTTCACATAAACAGGTTCAGTTACTGGGGTACAACAATGTTTTTATATGAATTTAAATCGAGTGGCAAGTTATATTTTTAAGCTTTGATATTGGCATCCAATCACATTATAGAATGCGTGCATCTTCTAATCTACATCAAACGTGCATATTGCATTACCAACTCATTACTGTTTATGCAACATAACCCAATGCGACATCAAATCAGATTCAGGTTCACTCTGTCAACCTTTTGTTAAATACTGACGTTTGAGAATCAACCTTTAGTTCACATCAATGGGATGGTGTTGTACTATACCAACTCACGTGCACATCCAGAAACATCTTGGGCAGAATCTCAACGCATGTTTTCTGCAACAGAAAAAGTTAAAATTAGAAATCACTTGGATACATTAGAAAATATAACGGTTTTATCAAATCAATAATGCTTTTGAAATAGCTCACCGTGCGATGATAATTGTGTACTTTTTCCAAAAGTTCCATTATTTCCTTGCTCAAGCCGAGCACTCGGGAATAGCATGTCGGTGGTGCACAGTCAGCCAACCAAATAAAACTGAAAAGACACAACAAAGGTGCGAGTCTCATCTTTCAACCGTTGTTGCGTCGGTCAAAACAGGCTTCTTGTGTTTAGGCAGCTAGGCAAGAGCTTTACAACACGAGTGTGCTCGTCCAGCAACTTTGTAGTTTATAGTTGGACTGAAAAAAAAAGAAGCGATTATGACGTCGAAGATCCAGTAAGCGCAACATGACGCGAAATGAAAAATATTTCACGCTCCTATGCATTTTGGAAACACGTGGTCTTTCAGCTATCAACATCATACAGAATGACAACAAAGTGTATCATCCCATTTTGTAACAATCCACACTTCACAATCAAAATGTATTAAAGCATATTTTGATAACATTTGTATAGCTGTTAATGAAAAGGATTTACAAATAGTTAAGTAGTTCATAAACTGAGTTTATAAACTGTTCATTATTAATGTACTGATAGTTTATGAATCTGTAATAAACAGTTATAACACTGGTTGAAATTGTGGGATTGTTATTTTGGAGCTGGCCAAAAACTGAGCTACAGTGAGGGAAAAAAGTATTTGATCCCCTGCTGATTTTGTACGTTTGCCCGCTGACAAAGACATGATCAGTCTATAATTTTAAATGGTAGGTTTATTTGAACAGTGAGAGACAGAATAACAACAAAAAAATCCAGAAAAACGCATGTCAAAAATGTTATAAATTGATTTGCATTTTAATGAGGGAAATAAGTATTTGATCCCCTCTCAATCAGAAAGATTTCTGGCTCCCAGGTGTCTTTTATACAGGTAACGAACTGAGATCGACTCCCGAGTGGCGCAGTGGTCTAAGGCACTGCATCGCAGTGCTAGCTGTGCCACTAGAGATCCTGGTTCGAGTAGAGGCTCTGTCGCAGCCGGCCGCGACCGGGAGACACATGGGCGGCGCACAATTGGTCCAGCGTCGTCCAAGGTAGGGGAGGGTTTGGCCGGCAGGGATGTGGGTTCGTTTCCCACGGGGGGCCAGTATGAAAAAAAAAATAAAACAAATGTTTTAAATAAAAAAATACATGTATGCATTCACTAACTGACTAAATGACTAAAATGTAAATTAGGAGCACACTCTTAAAGGGAGTGCTCCTAATCTCAGCTTGTTACCTGTATAAAAGACACCTGTCCACAGAAGCAATCAATCAATCAGATTCCAAACTCTCCACCATGGCCAAGACCAAAGAGCTCTCCAAGGATGTCAGGGACAAGATTGTAGACCTACACAAGGCTGGAATGGGCTACAAGACCATCGCCAAGCAGATTGGTGAGAAGGTGACAACAGTTGGTGAGATTATTCGCAAATGGAAGAAACACAAAATAACTGTCAAGCTCCCTCGGCCTGGGGCTCCATGCAAGATCTCACCTCGTGGAGTTGCAATGATCATGAGAACGGTGAGGAATCAGCCCAGAACTACACGGGGGGGGATCTTGTCAATGATCTCAAGGCAGCTGGGACCATAGTCACCAAGAAAACAATTGGTAACACACTACGCTGTGAAGGACTGAAATCCTGCAGCGCCCGCAAGGTCCCCCTGCTCAAGAAAGCACATATACAGGCCCGTCTGAAGTTTGCCAATGAACATCTGAATGATTCAGAGGAGAACTGGGTGAAGGTGTTGTGGTCAGATGAGACCAAAATCGAGCACTTTGCCATCAACTCAACTCGCCGTGTTTGGAGGAGGAGGAATGCTGCCTATGACCCCAAGAACACCATCCCCACCGTCAAACATGGAGGTGGAAACATTATGCTTTGGGGGTGTTTTTCTGCTAAGGGGACAGGACAACTTCACCGCATCAAAGGGACGATGGACGGGGCCATGTACCATCAAATCTTGGGTGAGAACCTCCTTCCCTACGCCAGGGCATTGAAAATGGGTCGTGGATGGGTATTCCAGCATGACAATGACCCAAAACACACGGCCAAGGCAACAAAGGAGTGGCTCAAGAAGAAGCACATTAAGGTCCTGGAGTGGCCTAGCCAGTCTCCAGACCTTAATCCCATAGAAAATCTGTGGAGGGAGCTGAAGGTTCGAGTTGCCAAACGTCAGCCTCAAAACCTTTAATGACTTGGAGAAGATCTGCAAAGAGGAGTGGGACAAAATCCCTCCTGAGATGTGTGCAAACCTGGTGGCCAACTACAAGAAATATCTGACCATTGTGATTGCCAACAAGGGTTTTGCCACCAAGTACTAAGTATTTTTTTGCAGAGGGGTCAAATACTTATTTCCCTCATTAAAATGCAAATCAATTTATAACATTTTTGACATGCATTTTTCTGGATTATTTTGTTGTTATTCTGTCTCACACTGTTCAAATAAACCTACCATTAAAATTATAGACTGATCATGTCTTTATCAGTGGGCAAACGTACAAAATCAGCAGGGGATCAAATACTTTTTTCCCTCACTGTATAAGATGACTGCACTGTTGCAGATGTTTAACATACAATGGACAAGAACACTAAAATAATGTTGTTGATAACATTTGTATTCATTTATCATAATTGTATTCATATAATTTGTTAAAATATTGCTAATGGTGAAGACATATGTATTTAACAAGACGTGCAACTCATCAGTTCTAATAAAAACTAGCTGCCTAAAGACTACCTGCCGACTATTTAGACAAAATTATTATCAATCATTCTGTTCATTTTTTTCATACCATCAGTGAGTAACATACTGGTGGGACATTTAAGACCACATAGCAGAATCTAACAGAGTTCCCCTAGCCTGGTCCCAGATCTTTTTATACTGTTTTGGCCATTGTCATCTGTAATGACTTATTTGTTTCTTGTCACACCAAACAGATCTGGGACCAGGCTAGGGGTACAGTATATGATCAGTAGGAATCTTCTGTGCCCAGAATTGGTCCTCTGAAACCACCAACAAACTCAGGGTTGGTCCTCTGAAAACACCAACAAACTCAGGGTTGGTCCGTGGGGGCCACCGATCCCTTCTTCAGATTAAGGAAGTTCCTCTTCTTCCTCTTCCTGTTGGTGGCCGCCGTGGTGTTCTGGTGCTCCAGCGGGGCGCGGAACACAAACACCCTCTCTCCCGTAGTAGGGATGTCCTGTACTACTGCATCGTTGGCCGGGCAAGAGGTGGAGGTTTCTGTTACAGTAGTAGAGTCAAACACAGTTTCACTGTCCACCTCTACTCCTCCTCCCACTGAAATCAGAACAGAGTCTTGGAGCTGCTCCGAGGTTGTGGTTTGGCTCGTTCCAGTCGCGACTGGTTTGGGAGTGGGTTGTTGTGGAGTGGGTCGAAGAACTCCCTCCCTCCCCTTTTCCTGGACCAACACTTGCATCACGTCCCTGGGAGCCTCGGGTCTGGGATTGAGGAACAGCCTCTCCAGCAGGCTCTGCCTCTTCTCCTGGAACCTGGAAAATGAAGAGCATGAAATTTCCTGAGGATTTCTGAAGCACATACAGTGCATTCGGAAAGTATTCAGACCCCTTCACTTTTTCCACATTTTGTTACGTTACAGCCTTATTCTAAAATGGATTAAATAAATTAACAATCATCAGGAATCTACACACAATACCCCATAATTACAAAGCCAAAAACAGTTTTGAAATGTTTGCTAATTTATTAAAAATAAAAAACAGAAATACCTTATTTACATAACTATTCAGACCCTTTGCTATGAGACTCGAAATTGAGCTCAGGTGCATCCTGTTTCCATTGATCATCCTTGAGATTTTTCTACAACTTGATTGGAGTCCACCTGTGGTAAATTCAATTGATTGTACATGATTTGGAAAGGCACACACCTGTCTATAAAAGGTCCCACAGGTGACAGCGCATGTCACAGCAAAAACCAAGCCATGAGGTCGAAGGAATTGTCCGTAGAGCTCTGAGACAAGATTGTGTCGAGGCACAGATCTGGGGAAGGGAACCAAAAACTGTCTGCAGCATTGTAGGTCCCCAAGAACACAGTGCCCTTCATCATTCTTAAATGGAAGAAGTTTGGAACCACCAATACTCTTCCTAGAGCTGGCCACCCAGCCAAACAATTGGGGGAGAAGGGCCTTGGTCAGGGAGGTGACCAAGAACCCGATGGTCACTCAGACAGAGCTCCAGAGTTCCTCTGTGGAGATGGGAGAACCTTCCAGAAGGACAACTATCTCTGCAGCACTCCACCAATCAGGCCTTTATGGTAGAGTAGCCAGATGGAAGGCACTCCTCAGTAAAAGGCACATGACAGCCCGCTTGGAGTTTCCAAAAGGCACCGATTCTCTGGTCTGATGAAATCAAGATTGAACTCTTTGGCCTGATTGCTAAGCATCACGTCTGGCGGAAACCAGGCAGGGCTCATCACCTGGACAATACAATCCCTACGGTGAAGCATGGTGGTGGCAGCCTCATGCTGTGGGGATGTTTTTCAGCGGCAGGGACTGGGAGACTAGTCAGGATCGAGCGAAAGATGATCGGAGCAAAGTACAGAGAGATCCTTGATGAAAACCTGCTTCAGAGCGCTCAGACTGGGGCAAAGGTTCAGCTTCCAACAGGACAACGACCCTAAGCACACAGCCAAAACAACGCAGGAGTGGCTTCGGGACAAGTGTCTGAATGTCCTTGAGTGGCCCAGCCAGAGCCCGGACTTGAACCCGATCTAACACCTCTGGAGAGACCTGAAAATAGCTGTGCAGCGATGCTCCCCATCCAAGCTGACAGCTTGAGAGGATCTGCAGAGAAGAATGGGAGAAACTCCCCAAATACAGGTGTGTCAAGCTTGTAGTGTCATACCCAAAAAGACTCGAGGCTGTAATCGCTGCCAAAGGTGCTTCAACAAAGTACTGAGTAAAGGGTCTGAATACTTACGTAAATGTGATATTTTGCAAGAATTTCTAAAATCCTGTTTTTGCTTTGTCATTATGGGGTATTGTGGTTAGACTGATGAGGAAAATAAACTATTTATTCAATTTTAGAATAAGGCTGTAACGTAACAAAATGTGAAAAAAGTGAAGGGGTCGGAAATACTTTCACAATGCACTGTATACACGCTTAATTTTGGGTTCATTACGTTTTTTAAAAGTTTTTTTGTGGGACCAAAATGTATGTACCACTCTGTCGCTAGGTGCCAATTGTCTCTACCAAGTTATTTCCTAGTAATGTCACGCCCTGGCCGTGAGAGGCCTGTTGTCTTTAGTTGGTTTGGTCAGGGCGTGAGTTTCTATGTTATATATTCTATGTTTACGTTCTAGTTAGTCTATTTCTATGTTTCAGTTCTAGGTTGTGTGTCTATGTTTGGCCGGGTGTGATTCCCAATCAGAGACAGCTGTCGCTCGTTGTCTCTGATTGGGGATCATACTTAAGTAGCCTGTTTGCCTACCTTAGTTGTGGGATCTTGTTCCGTGTTAGGCTTGTATGTCTATAGCCTTAGGACTTCACATTACGTTGTTTCTTGTTTTGTTTATGTTTATTGAGTGAAATAAACATGTACGCTTGTCACGCTGCACCTTGGTCTGACCCGTCTCTCAACGATCGTGACAAGTAATTAGCACACATAACCATAGATTCCAATTCAATTAGGGCTGTTACTGATACCAGTATCGCATTTATTTTTTCCATGGCAAAAATGAAAACACGAAGGAGGCCAAACTCTTTGGTCCTTTAAAAACCTGCTGTATGTAAAATATTGTGTGCTATAGCCTGGAAAATAAATAAATGTGACTCTGGATGACAACATATTGATGTTTATTTCCAACATTCGGGCTATTTTCCTAAAGAAATTAAATCTGCTTCGTGTTTTGTTTCCTTGCCACGATACTAACGAGTATTGCGATACTGGTATTGTCCCGGCCCTAAATTCAATGACAGATAAAGGAAAACACCACTGTAGGTCGACTCATAATCAATGTTTATGCTTTATCGTTATCGAGGTGTTAACCTTTTTAAATTCACACAGACCCACCTGTCCTCGTCCTTAACATTGCATTATCAACATTCTGAGATGATGGGAATTTAATTGGGGCCTTTGATCATATTGGAAATAAAAGCTCCAGAATAAAGTTGAGAGGCTCTTTGTCTTGCACTCACTGGTTTCGGTCCTGGTCCGTCGTGTGGGCTGAGAAATTCCTCCCCACCATATCCTCCCTCAGTCTGACAAGCAGAGATTTACCAGCTCCTCCTGGCCACCTGAGAAAACAGCCCAGAACGGAAAAGGAAATTAACAAGAATACATCTACAATGCATCACATTTCTGTAGATTTATGTTAGTTTTTTATTGTACATGGTCCTTGTCAAATAAATGTAATAAAAATAAATTAAATTAAATAAATTATTCACGTGAGGGCCAGGCTAACTAAGCAAATGGAGATGGATATTATTCTACTTAAGTTAATGTTCTCCCTCTTTCCCTGGCTAGACAGGCCAAATCCCAGGCCAGGCGTCCTCAAACAAAGAGCATTATTCACAAACAACAGAGTCCAAACAGAATGTTGGCCAGCCCAGACAGGACGTTGACAGAAGTGTTCCATGCTCCTAGCCAATGTATCATAGGCAGATGGGAACGTATGATGCACAGAAGTAGTATTCCTTCCTCCTCAGTGAGATCACATTGATTGATCTCACTACTTCGACAGTGCTGTAAAAATGGGGGAATAACCAACCTTTTGTAAATAGGTTCAGTCAAACGTTCTCATGTGTACAGAAATGCCAGCACCCCCCTGTATGATCACCAAAGTCTTAGCTTGCTACTAGTTCCCTACATGAATGCTGAAATGTTTAACTATTTCTTTGTAGTTTCTTTCAAATACTAGCCTTTGTGGCAGGCTATTTGTGTGACAGGTAGCTAGTTACAATGACGAAAAGGGGCCATATTCAAATTACGTTGATAGGAGCCAAAATACATGATTCAACTGACATGATAAATATGTCTTATACGCCTTTAAGAAGTGAAACAAACTGCATCCAGCATTTACTGAAAAGTAACACATTGTGCTGGTGTGATTCACTGACAGACACAAGCCTAAACATATGGTGCACGGCACAAACTGCTCCAAGAGTTATATTCTCTAGTGGGATTGGTATTTTGGAGCTTGCTAAATAGTGAGCTTATGTACGACTTCACATACTTACTGGATGCAAGTGGAGAGTTCAAATTGGTGTTAGACACCCAAGACTTGCAAGGCATCATATACGCCATTTTTAATACTTGATTAAAGTTTACCCAGAGTTTTCAATGGCCAGGCAGAGAGGTTGTGTCTCAGAGCTTAAAGGTAGAATCATCAATATGACATCATCATACAAAGTAGGGCAACTTTCTGTTCACAGACATCAACAACAATAACAAAGTTCAAATCTTCCACTGGCAATATCGGCGGTTCCCCAGGGAGGGCGCAAATTGGGAAGAGGCAATAATAGTCTGTTGCTGTTGATGTCTGTAAGCAGGGAGTCGCCCTGCTCTGTTGATGTAATATTGCGGACTCTACCTTTTAAACAAAAACATTCCAATCTACTACCAATAAAACTACAACTATTGCTAGTTCTTACCCTATGCTCTCCTGCTCTGCGGAAGCTGGAAGGACAGGTTGCTTGGGGCAGAGGGCGTTGATGAGGGACAGCAGCTCTGACTCTGGGAGGGTTGGGAGGAGGAGACGGAGAGCCTCTAGGAGAACCTCAGCGGAGACCTGGCTCTGCCTCACTAGCCTGGCTGCAAACTCCAGATCCTGGGGAGGAATGGAGGGAAAAGAGGGATGAAGGGAAAAGACTGGCTCTTTACAACTGTCAACCAATAGGGTCTCAGACACAGATTAAGCCTACTCCTGGACTAAAAAGCAATCAGAGAATCACAATTCTACGATGGCTAGATCACCTGGTCACAGTTTGTGTAGAGTCTCTTCAGCTCCAGCTGCTCCTTGAGATCCTCCATAGCCTGACTCCTTGCATTGGCCTCTTGTAGCCTGGAAGAGATGGGATGGATGGAGGATAGGAGTGGGAGAGATGTGGATATGTGGATAACTGCACAATCCTTTTAGAGGAAGGTGTGTATTGATGACAGCTCAGAGCCTGTCAAAGCACTAGGTCAAAATAACATAATAACAAAATGTACATAGAAAAAGCTACTGTCTTGTGTTACTATTACAGTAGAGCCACAGATTATGGTGGTCCTCTGTAGCTCAGCTGGTAGAGCACGGCGCTTGTAACACCAAGGTAGTGGGTTTGATCCCTGGGACCACCCATACACAAAATAAAAAATGTATGCACACATGACTGTAAGTCGCTTTGGATAAAAGCGTCTGCTAAATGGCATATTATTATATTATATTATTATATTATCAAAGCCACATTTGAACGCAAACAAAGTGATCAAGTTTTTGTAAAGCCCTGTGTTCAGATCAGACGTAAGCCATACTTGGTCTGTAATGGCACTCTATTTCCTATATAGTGCACAATTTTTGTCCGGCGCCTCGTAGGGTACTATGTAGGGAACAGGGTGCTATTTTGTATACGTCGTTGGTCCACGGTGAGTAAAGCTCACCTCTCTGTCTGCAGACCGGTGACCTGATCACACTTGTATAGCGCCTCGTGAAGGATAGTGGCCATGCGACTGTCACACTCTATGTGAAACAGCCTCCCTTCCTCTTCGTCTCCCTCCTCCTCTTCATGATCAGAGTGGTCTGGGTCTTTGGGTGGTCTGTGTTGGGTCAGTCTGGTTGGTCCAGTCTCCAGACTCTCCAACTCTGCATGTTCTCTCTGGAGCTGGAGCTCGGCTTCTTCCAAACCCTGTAGTCATAGCCAAATGGGTCAATGGATTCATAACAACTTCATTCATTGAGGATATCTTATGTATCGTGTGTGTGTGTGTGTGTGTGTGTGTGTCTGTCTGTGTCGTGTGACCAAATTGCTCAGGCGGGTTTGATCAAATTTAGCCATTGATGTAATCTTTCATCACTAAAGTGTGAATTGGGCTACAGTGCATGCCAAAGCATCCTATATGCCCCAGCAGTGTCCTACAGTGAGGGAAAAAAGTATTTCATCCCATGCTGATTTTGCACGTTTGCCCACTGACAAAGAAATGATCAGTCTATAATTTTAATGGTAAGTTTATTTGAACAGTGAGAGACAGAATAACAACAAAAATATCCAGAAAAACGCATGTCAAAAATGTTATAAATTGATTTGCATTTTAATGAGAGAAATAAGTATTTGACCCCCTCTCAATCAGAACGATTTCTGGCTCCCAGGTGTCTTTTATACAGGTAACGAGCTGAGATTAGGTGCACACTCTTAAAGGGAGTGCTCCTAATCTCAGCTTGTTACCTGTATAAAAGACACCTGTCCACAGAAGCAATCAATCAATCAGATTCCAAACTCTCCAGCATGGCCAAGACCATCGCCAAGCAGCTTGGTGAGAAGGTGACAACAGTTGGTGCGATTATTCGCAAATGGAAGAAACACAAAATAACTGTCAATCTCCCTCGGCCTGGGGCTCCATGCAAGATCTCACCTCGTGGAGTTGCAATGATCATGAGAACGGTGAGGAATCAACCCAGAACTACACGGGAGGATCTTGTCAATGATCTCAAGGCAGCTGGGACCATAATTACCAAGAAAACAATTGGTAACACACTAAGCTGTGAAGGACTGAAATCCTGCAGCGCCCGCAAGGTCCCCCTGCTCAAGAAAGCACATATACAGGCCCGTCTGAAGTTTGCCAATGAACATCTGAATGATTCAGAGGAGAACTGGGTGAAAGTGTTGTGGTCAGATGAGACCAAAATCGAGCTCTTTGCCATCAACTCAACTCGCCGTGTTTGGAGGAGGAGGAATGCTGCCCTTTGACCCCAAGAACACCATCCCCACCGTCAAACATGGAGGTGGAAACATTATGCTTTGGGGGTGTTTTTCTGCTAAGGGGACAGGACAACTTCACCGCATCAAAGGGACGATGGACGGGGCCATGTACCGTCAAATCTTGGGTGAGAACCTCCTTCCCTCAGCCAGGGCATTGAAAATGGGTCGTGGATGGGTATTCCAGCATGACAATGACCCAAAACACACGGCCAAGGCAACAAAGGAGTGGCTCAAGAAGAAGCACATTAAGGTCCTGGAGTGGCCTAGCCAGTCTCCAGACCTTAATCCCATAGAAAATCTGTGGAGGGAGCTGAAGGTTCGAGTTGCCAAACGTCAGCCTCAAAACCTTAATGACTTGGAGAAGATCTGCAAAGAGGAGTAGAACAAAATCCCTCCTGAGATGTGTGCAAACCTGGTGGCCAACTACAAGAAACGTCTGACCTCTGTGATTGCCAACAAGGGTTTTGCCACCAAGTACTAAGTCATGTTTTGCTGAGGGGTCAAATACTTATTTCCCTCATTAAAATGCTAATCAATTTATAACATTTTTGACATGCGTTTTTCTGGATTTCTTTGTTGTTATTCTGTCTCTCACTGTTCAAATAAACCTACCATTGAAATTATAGACTGATCATGTCTTTGTCAGTGGGCAGATGTACAAAATCAGCAGGGGATCAAATACTTTTTTCCCTCACTGTACGTACCAGACAGTGGTTCTGGATGCTCTGGGCTATGGGGGCTGCCCCCAGGCTCCTGCTGGCACGCAGCTCCTCAGTGAGCAGGCTCTGGATGCTAAGCAGAGCTCTGGAGGACTCCAGGACCCTGGTCCTCCTCTCAACCTTCTGATAGTGGAGGGCAGCCATCTGCACGGCCAGGCCGTCTGCCTGGTGCTGGAGCTCTACCTCCCGCTCACTACGCATCTCCTCCAGGACCTAGAGCGAGAGATGTTGGAGAAGGGGTTTAGCTAGTGTTAGGAAATTAGTTAGGTTAAGTGATTAGGCCACAGCTACTCCACTGAGACCCCTCTGAACCCAACACCATGTCTTACTTTAGTGTAAATGTGTACATTTTTATCCGGTTATGGCCCAGTTCAGCAGGCCTAGGACCCCTAGACATAGCGAGAGGAGGTTTATCAGTAGGCTGACTAACAGGTTTCGTAAAATTAGCAACAAACAGTTTTTCGGGAATGACATTATAAAAGAACTCCTGGATTAAAAATAATGTTAAATGGAAATCATCTACTGAGTGTGGTTTTCAGTCCAGAAGTAATCTGGGTCCAAGAAACCCTAAAGGTTTCAGAGTCCGTCCGGGAATATCCCCTTACCCGCCTCCGCCATATTCCCATCTGTTCCAGCTGTGTGTGAGTGTGAGAAAGTGTCAAAAAACTTTTGTTCACTTTGAAAGTAGCAAAAAGTGAATGAATGCAACAAAAGAGGAAACAAAAGTGCCTTCGGAAAGTATTCAGACCCCTTGACCTTTTCCACATTTTGTTACGTTACAGCCTTATTCTAAAATTGATTAAATCGTTTTTTCCCCCCTCATTAATCTAAACACAATACCACATAATGACAAAGCAAAAACAGGTTTTTAGACATTTAGACAAAAAATAAATGAAATATGACATTTACATAAGTATTCAGACCCTTTACTCAGTACTTTGTTGAAGCACCTTTTGCAGCGATTACAGCATCGAGTCTCCTTGGGTATTACGCTACAACATTGACACACCTGTATTGGGAGAGTTTCTCCCATTCTTCTCTGCAAATCCTGTCAAGCTCTGTCAGGTTGGATGGGGAGCGTTGCTACACATCTGTTTTCAGGTCTCTCCAGAGATGTTAGATCGGGTTCAAGTCCAGGCTCTGGCTGGGCCACTCAAGGACATTCAGAGACTTGTCCCGAAGCCACTCCTGCATTGTCTTGGCTGTGTGCTTAGGGTCATTGTCCTGTGGAAGGTGAACCTTCGCCCCAGTCTGAGGTCCTGAGCGCTCTGGAGCAGGTTTTCATCAAGGATCTCTCTGTACTTTGCTCCGTTTATCTTTGCCTCGATCCTGACTAGCCTCCCAGTCCCTGCCGCTGAAAAACATCCCCACAGCATGATGCTGCCACCACCATGCTTCACCGTAGGGATGGTGCCAGGTTTCCTTCAGACGTGATGCTTGGCATTCAGGCCAAAGAGTTCAATCTTGGTTTCATCAGACCAGAGAATCTTGTTTCTCATGGTCTGAGAGTCTTTAGGTGACTTTTGGCAAACTCCAAGCGGGCTGTCATGTGCCTTTTACTGAGGAGTGGCTTCCGTCTAGCCACTCTACCATAAAGGCCTGATTGGTGGAGTGCTGAAGAGATGGTTGTACTTCTGGAAGGTTCTCCCATCTCCACAGAGGAACTCTAGAGCTCTGTCAGTGACCATTGGGTTCTTGGTCAACTCCCTGACCATAGCCCTTCTCCCATGATTGCTCAGTTTAGCCGGGCGGCCAGCTCTAGGAAGAGTCTTGGTGGTTCCAAACTTCTTCCATTTAAGAATGATGGAGGCAACTGTGTTCTTGGGGACCTTCAATGCTGCAGAATTTTTTTTTGTACCCTTCCCCAGATCTGTGCCTTGACACAATCCTGTCTCGGAGCTCTACGGACAATTCCTTCAACCTCATGGCTTGGTTTTTGCTCTGACATGCACTGTCAACTGTGGGACTTTATATAAACAGGTGTGTGCCTTTCCAAATCATGTTCAATCAATTGAATTTACCACAGGTGGACTCCAATCAAGTTGTAGAAACATCTCAAGGATGATCAATGGAAACAGGATGCATCTGAGCTCAATTTCGAGTCTCATAGCAAAGGGTCTTAATACTTATGTAAATAAGGTATTTCTGTTTTCTAAAAACCTGTTTACACTTTGTCATTATGGGGTGTGTGTAGATTGCTGAGGATTTTTATTTACAGTTGAAGTCGGAGGTTTACATACACCTTAGCCAAATACTAACTCCAAAAAGTTTTGGGACACTGTAAAGTCCATGGAGAATAAGAGCACTTCCTCCCAGCTGCCCACTGCACTGAGGCTAGGAAACACTATCACCACCGATAAATCTACAATAATCGAGAATTTCAACAAGCATTTTGCTACAGCTGGCCATGCTTTCCATCTGGCTACCACTACCCCGGCCACCAACTCTGCACCCTCTGCTGCAACTTGCCCATGCCCCCCCCGCTTCTCCTTCACACAAATTCAGACAGCTGATGTTTTGAAAGCGCTGCAAAATATGGACCCCTACAAATCAGCTGGGCTAGACAATCTGGACCCTTTCTTTCTAAAACTAGCCGCCGAAATTGTCGCAACCCCTATTACTAGTCTGTTCAACCTCTCTTTCATAACGTCTGAGATCCCCAGAGATTGGAAAGCTGCCGCGGTCATCCCCCTCTTCAAAGGGGGTGACACTCTAGATCCAAACTGCTACAGACCTATATCCATCCTGCCCTGCCTTTCGAAAGTATTTGAAAGCCAAGTTAACAAACAGATCACCGACCATTTCGAATACCACCGTACCTTCTCCGCTATGCAATCCGGTTTCCGAGCTGGTCATGGGTGCACTTCAGCCACGCTCAAGGTCCTAAACGATATTATAACCGCGATCGATAATAGACAGTACTGTGCAGCCGTCTTCATTGACCTGGCCAAGGCTTTCGACTCTGTCAACCACCGCATTCTTATTGGCAGACTAAATAGCCTTGGTTTCTCAAATGACTGCCTCGCCTGGTTCACCAACTACTTCTCAGATAGAGTTCAGTGTGTCAAATCGGAGGGCCTGTTGTCTGTACCTATGGCAGTCTCTATGGGGGTGCCACAGGGTTCAATTCTTGGGCCGACACTTTTCTCCGTGTATATCAATGATGTCGCTCTTGCTGCTGGTGACTCTCAGATCCACCTCTACGCAGACGACACCATTTTGTATACATCTGGCCCTTCATTGGACACTGTGTTAACAAACCTCCAAACGAGCTTCAATGCCATACAACACTCCTTCAGTAGCCTCCAACTGCTCTTAAACACTAGTAAAACTAAATGCATGCTTTTCAATCGAACGCTGCTGGCACCCGCCCACCCGACTAGAATCACCACTCTTGACGGGTCTGACCTAGAGTATGTGGACAACTACAAATACCTAGGTGTCTGGTTAGACTGTAAACTCTCCTTCCAGACTCACATAAAGAATCTCCAATCCAAAGTTAAATCTAGAATCGGCTTCCTATTTCGCAACAAAGCCTCCTTCACTCATGCTGCCAAACATGCCCTCGTAAAACTGACTATCCTACCGATCCTTGACTTCGGCGATGTCATTTACAAAATAGCCTCCAACACTCTACTCAGCAAATTGGATGTAGTCTATCACAGTGCCATCCGTTTTGTCTCCAAAGCCCCATACACTACCCACCACTGTGACCTGTACGCTCTTGTTGGCTGGTCCTCACTACATGTTCGTCGTCAAACCCACTAGCTCCAGGCCATCTATAAATCACTGCTAGGCAAATCCCCGCCTTATATTAGCTCATTGGTCACCATAGCAGCACCCACCCGTAGTCTGCGCTCCAGCAGGTATATCTCACTGGTCATTCCCAAAGCCAACACCTCCTTTGGCCGCCATTCCTTCCAGTTCTCTGCTGCCAATGACTGGAACGAATTGCAAAAATCTCTGAAGCTGGAGACTCTTATCTCCCTCAATAACTTTAAGCATCAGTTGTCAGAGCACCTTACCGATCACTGCACCTGTACACAGCCCATCTGAAATTAGCCCACCCAACTACCTCATCCCTATATTGTTATTTATTTTGCTCTTTTGCACCCCAGTATCTCTATTTGCACATAATCTCTTGCACATCTAGCATTCAAGTGTTAATACTATTGTAATTATTTTGCACTATAGCCTATTTATTGCCTTACCTCCATAACTTGCTACATTTGCACACACTGTATATATATTTTCTGTTGTATTTTTGACTTTATGTTTTTTACCCCATATGTAACTCTGTGTTGTTTTTATTGCACTGCTTTGCTTTATCTTGGCCAGGTCGCAGTTGTAAATGAGAACCTGTTCTCAACTGGCTTACCTGGTTAAATAAAGGTGAAATAAAATAAAAATAAAAAATACATTTAAACTCAAGTTTTTCACAATTCCTGACATAGTACAACTTCCCTGTCTTAGGTCAGTTAGGATCACCACTTTATTTTAAGAATGTGAAATGTCAGAATAATAGTAGAGATAATGATTTATTTCAGCTTTTATTTCTTTCATCACATTACCAGTGGGCCAGAAGTTTACATACACTCAATTAGTATTTGGTAGCATTGTCTTTAAATTGTTTAACTTGGGTCAAACGTTTCAGGTAGCCTTCCACAAGCTTCCCACAATAAGTTGGGTGAATTTTGGCCCATTCCTCATGACAGAGCAGGTGTAACTGAGTCAGGTTTGTAGGCCTCCTTGCTCGCACACGCTTTTTCAGTTCTGCCCACAAATTTTCTATAGGATTGAGGTCAGGGCTTTGTGATGGCCACTCCAATACATACCTTGACTTTGTTGTCCTTAAGCCATTTTGCCACAACTTTGGAAGTATGCTTGGGGTCATTGTCCATTTGGAAGACTCATTTGCGACCAAGCTTTAACTTCCTTACTGATGTCTTGAGATGTTGCTTCAATATATCCACATAATTTTCCTTCCTCATGATGCCATCTATTTTTTGAAGTGCACCAGTCCCTCCTGCAGCAAAGCACCCCCACAGCATGATGCTGCCACCCCCTTGCTTCACAGTTGGGATGGTGTTCTTCGGCTTGCAAGGTACCCCCTTTTTCCTCCAAACATAACGATGGTCATTATGGCCAAACAGTTCTATTTTTGTTTCATCAGACCAGAGGACATTTCTCCAAAAAGTATGATCTTTGTCCCCATGTGCAGTTGCAAACCGTAGTCTGTCTTTTTTATGGCGGTTTTGGAGCAGTGGCTTCTTCCTTGCTGAGCGGCCTTTCAGTTTATGTCGATATAGGACTCGTTTTACTGTGGATATAGATACTTTTGTACCTGTTTCCTCCAGCATCTTCACAAGGTCCTTTGCTGTTGTTCTGGGATTGATTTGCACTTTTTGCACCAAAGTACATTCATCTCTAGGAGACAGAACACGTCTCCTTCCTGAGTGGTATGATGGCTGCGTGGTCCCATGGTGTTTATACTTGCGTACTATTGTTTGTACAGATGAACGTGGTACCTTCAGGCGTTTGGAAATTGCTCCAAGAATGAACCAGACTTGTGGAGGTCTACACATTTTTTTCTGAGGTCTTGGCTGATCTTTTTTGATTTTCAAGCAAAGAGGCACTGAGTTTGAAGGTAGGCCTTGAAATACATCCACAGGTACACCTCCAATTGACTCAAATTATGTCAATTAGCCTATCAGAAGCTTCTAAAGCCATGACATCATTTTCTGTAATTTTCCAAGTTTTTTAAAGGCACAGTCAACTTAGTGTATGTAAACTTCTGACCCACTGGAATTGTGATACAGTGAATTATAAGTGAAATAATCTGTCTGTAAACAATTGTTGGAAAAATTACTTGTGTCATGCACAAAGTAGATGTCCTAACCGACTTGCCAAAACTATAGTGTGTTAACAAGAAATTTGTGGAGTGGTTGAAAAACGAGTTTTAATGACTCCAACCTAAGTGAATGTAAACTTCCGACTTCAACTGTATTTAATCAATTTTAGAATAAGGCTTTGACGTAACAAAATGTGGGAAAAGTCAAGGGGTCTGAATACTTTCCGGAGGCACTGTATGCACTATGGAAGCCTTCTCCTCCATTTTATAACTGCCCCTCGGAATGAAAAAAAGTTTGAATTGAATGGAATTCCCCTAACCTTCTCCATGGCTGTGCTCTCCTTTTCCTTTTCTTTCTCAAACAGCTGGATCCTGTCTTCCATCTTCTTCTGGAAGAGCAGCAGCTCTGAGGGGTCTGCTCTCTGTCTGGCCTCAGTGGATTTCCCTTTAGTCCTCGTCTTCTTCTGTGGAAACACACAAGATGGGGAGATGGTGAGGAAAACAATCATGATGTGGTTGTCAAAGGGCGTAGCTTTTCTTTTATGCTGCTTTCAACGCTGTCATTTTGGAAGATACTTCATACCTTCATTAACAAGATAAAAGAGTGGACAAAAAACAGTCCGTTGGCATGTATTTTCTTTTCAGTGACTGGATTTTCCTCCTGTTTTGAAATACTCAACCTTATCAACAAATACGGTATGTAGAGTTAGGGTTAATTTCATTTTAATATCTGGCAATTGAATATGACATTTCTCCATAGGATAATCAATCTCAAAAGTTAAACCTGCAAGCTAACACAAGCTCAGCTCAAATACTTTTAAATACTTGACTATTTGAACTACAGTGAGGGAAAAAAGTATTTGATCCCCTGCTGATTTTGTATGTTTGCCCACTGACAAACAAATGATCAGTCTATAATTTTAATGGTAGGTTTATTTGAACAGTGAGAGACAGAATAAAAACAAAAAAAATCCAGAAAAACACATGTCAAAAATGTTATAAATTGATTTGCATTTTAATGAGGGAAATAAGTATTTGACCCCCTCTCAATCAGAAAGATTTCTGGCTCCCAGGTGTCTTTTATACAGGTAACGAGCTGAGATTAGGAGCACACTCTTAAAGGGACCTACACAAGGCTGGAATGGGCTACAAGATCATCGCGAAGTGCTTGGTGAGAAGGTGACAACAGTTGGTGCGATTATTCGCAAATGGAAGAAACACAAAATAACTGTCAATCTCCCTCGGCCTGGGGCTCCTTGCAAGATCTCACCTCGTGGAATCAGCCCAGAACTACACGAGAGGATCTTGTCAATGATCTCAAGGCAGCTGGGACCATAGTCACCAAGAAAACAATTGGTAACACACTACGCCGTGAAGGACTGAAATCCTGCAGCGCCCGCAAGGTCCCCCTGCTCAAGAAAGCACATATACAGGCCCGTCTGAAGTTTGCCAATGAACATCTGAATGATTCAGAGGAGAACTGGGTGAAAGTGTTGTGGTCAGATGAGACCAAAATGGAGCTCTTTGGCATAAACTCAACTCGCCGTGTTTGGAGGAGGAGGAATGCCGCCTATGACCCCAAGAACACCATCCCCACCGTCAAACATGGAGGTGGAAACATTATGCTTTGGGGGTGTTTTTCTGCTAAGGGGACAGGACAACTTCACCGCATCAAAGGGACGATGGACGGCGCAATGTACCGTCAAATCTTGGGTGAGATCCTCCTTCCCTCAGCCAGGGCATTGAAAATGGGTTGTGGATGGGTATTCCAGCATGACAATGACCCAAAACACACAGCCAAGGCAACAAAGGAGTGGCTCAAAAAGAAGCACATTAAGGTCCTTAATCCCGTAGAAAATCTGTGGAGGGAGCTGAAGGTTCGAGTTGCCAAACGTCAGCCTTGAAACCTTAATGACTTGGAGAAGATCTGCAAAGAGGAGTGGGACAAAATCCCTCCTGAGATGTATGCAAACCTGGTGGCCAACTACAAGAAACGTCTGACCACTGTGATTGCCAACAAGGGTTTTGCCACCAAGTACTAAGTCATGTTTTGCAGAGGGGTCAAATACTTATTTCCCTCATTAAAATGCAAATCAATTTATAACATTTTTGACATGCGTTTTTCTGGATTTTGTTGTTGTTATTCTGTCTCTCACTGTTCAAATGAACGTACCATTAAAATAATAGACTGATCATGTCTATGTCAGTGGGCAAACGTACAAAATCAGCAGGGGATCAAATACTTTTTTCCCTCACTGTAGGTCTGATACTGTATGTTCCTCAAAGTCAACTCTGGACCTCAAAGCCAGTTCCACTGCGTTTTTTTTTCATTGTTGATCTCGAATCAGGGACTGACTTAGACCTGGGTCACCAGGTGGGTGTAATTCATTATCAGGTAGAACAGAAAACCAGCAGGCTCTGGACCTCGTAGGGTAAGAGTTGAATACCCCTGCTGTATGTTTTGAAATCTGCCATTACCTCCGTGGGCTGTGGATGCTCAGCCTGCTCCCCCATCTCCTTCCTCCAGGTGGACAGGGCGGTCTGCAGTTTGGAGCGGGAGAGGGCGTGAGGCAGCACCAGACAGTGGTCCATCCTGGACAGACAGTTCTGGAACTCCAGCTTCATACGCAGTAACTCTTCATCTGATAACGTGAGCTGGGACGAACACAGAGACCTGCAGGTATACAAATACGCGCAACCGCAAACAAATGCAAGTACGCTTGCGCACACACACATACACACAATTAATTCAAAGAGCTAATATTTGCAATAAGATACCCCAGAAGTTTATTTGCTTCCCCTTTCACAATCTGAAAATCTGTAGAACAAGGGACTGGCCTGAAAAAGTGATAGGAAAATCTATATATTTGCTCACCTATAGAAGGCCCGACCCTTAGCCCTCAGTTCTTGCTGCTCCTGTAGCTCCCTCCCCATGCCCTGGTGCAGGGAGTCCCTGGAGGCCTGGAGGGTCCTCACTGCCGCCTTGCCATCCAGATGAAGCCTCTCCTGGGCCTGGGACAGGTTGCTGCTGCTGGCCCCTGTGTGGGCACCCTGCTCTGGCTGCTGGAAGGGGCCACGGGGGGTACCCAGGGCCAGCAGAGCCTGGGCAGCAGCAGGCTGGATGGCCTTCACCTCCGCCATGGGGCTGTGGATCACACGCATGGTGACCTAGGGAGGAGAAAGGGGGATGGTCAAAGATTAGTCTCTAGTCAATAGAAAGTCAGGGAAAGTGTCTCTTTGGTTAGTTAACATTTCATGTAAATATGTTTGTATGATTATGTATGATGTTAATTTGCTGTCTAACAATGACCTTTTTAAAAACAGCTGTTTTGTGTACTTGTAACAGGGTAGGTACCTGTGCGCTCAAACTGGGGACCTTCGGCAGACCCAGACTTTGCACTCATAAAGCAGTGTTACCTATTGCTCCACAAAGCAGTGTTACCTATTGCTCCACAAAGCAGTGTTACCTATTGCTCCACAAAGCAGTGTTACCTATTGCTCCACAAAGCAGTGTTACCTATTGCTCCACAAAGCAGTGTTACCTATTGCTCCACAAAGCAGTGTTACCTATTGCTCCACAAAGCAGTGTTACCTATTGCTCCACAAAGCAGTGTTACCTATTGCTCCACAAAGCAGTGTTACATATTGCTCCACAAAGCCATGGCCCTTGTAGAGACAGAACTACTTTAGGTCTTTGGGTGAGTGCTGTCACTTGCACGATGGACACTACTAGCGCATCGCTAACTAGCGAGCGATCACGTTGGCTACATATGTTGCTGTGCAATTTATATCTACCAACTACCTAACCTTACAGTTGTATATAGAGAAACAAGCGGGTGTCATCTTGGGTTACCCTGCAGATATCTGCTGCCTCCTCTTCCAGGTATCTTACCATTACATACAGAAAGGCTACAAGGTGTTGTGTAATTTTGAGTTACCTTGCGGATGTCGGCGGCAGCCTCTTCATCCAGGTTGTTGATGAGCTCACCCAGCTCCAGGCACTGGGAGGTCAGCAAGTTCTGCCAGCAGTGGAGATGCTGGGACGGCTTCACCTCCACCCTGTCCTCCTCTAGACCCCCCCGGGACAGGGACGACAGCTCCTTCTGACGCTGCTTGTGGCCCTGGAGCTGGACATAGACACACACCAAAGTCGTTTTCATTTGGGCACACATTGGAAAAGATTCCGTTCCCTGTTTCAGTCCATTCTCTTACGTGAGGTGCCTCATGAACATGACCCAAGACTGAACCCCAAAGTCCCTCCCTACCCCTTTGTCACACCCTGGCTCTGGGACTCATTATGTTGAGCCAGGGTGTGTTCATTTCTATGTGTGTATTTCTGTGTTGGTGTTCATTCTAGTTTGTTGTATTCTATGTTTGCCTGAGTGACTCCCAATCAGAGGCAACGAGTGTCAGCTGTTGGCTGGTTGTCTCTGATTGGGAGCCATATTTAACTGTATGTTTTCCCTTTGTGGTTGTGGGTTTTTGTTCCGTGTTCGGTCATTGATACCGTGGACGTCACGAGTCGTGTTTTGTTTTGTATTTTGATGCTTTAACTAATTAAAGTATGTTTGTTCATCACGCTGCGCCTTGGTCTACTTCTCTCCCTGACGATCGTGACAGAAAAACCCACCATGCAACGACCAAGCAGCGTGTCCAGGGGCAGCCCTTGGGGTGGACATGGGAGGAAGCGCCGGGAAAGGCCCTGGCGAAAGAGGAGCAGCGTGTCCAGGAGCAGGCAGCCTGGACATGGGAGGAGATATTGGACGGTAAAGGGTCCTGGACTTGGGGGGAAATCCTGGCCGGGATGGATCGCCTGCCATGGAGTGAGACAGTGGAGAGGCGACGGAGAGAGGAGCAACGGTGTGATCAGGGTCGTCGTCGGACGGTCGTGAGGCAACCCCAGAAAATGTTTAGGGGGGGGCACACGGCATGGACGACGGGGCTGACGGAGGAGAAAAGGGGGCGGATCCAGAAGGCCACCAGGCCAGGGGTTCACCGCCCTGTACGTCCTGTGCGGATGCCTCACACAGAGTGTGTGAGTGTAGGCATTCAGCCAGGATGGGTGGTGGCCGCTCTTCACTCCAGGCCTCCTATCCGTCTCCACAGCCTGGTTCGGCCTGTCCCTGCTCCACGCACCAAGCCTACGGTGTGCGTCGCCAGCCCAGCCCGGCCTGTCTCTGCTCCACGCACCAAGCCTACGGTGTGCGTCGCCAGCCCAGTCCGGCCTGTCCCTGCTCCACGCACCAAGCCTACGGTGTGCGTCGCCAGCCCGACCCGGCCTGTTCCTGCCACTCGCACCAAACCTACGGTGCGCGTCGCCAGCCCGGTCCGGCCTGTTCCTGCCACCCGCACCAAGTCTACGGTGCGCGTCGCCAGCCCGACCCGACCTGTTCCTGCCACTCGCACCAAACCTACGGTGCGCGTCGCCAGCCCGGTCCGGCCTGTTCCTGCCACCCGCACCAAGTCTACGGTGCGCGTCGCCAGCCCGACACGGCCTGTTCCTGCCACCCGCACCAAGTCTACGGTGCGCGTCGCCAGCCCGACCCGGCCTGTTCCTGCCACTCGCACTAAGCCAGGGGTGCGAGAAGTCAGCCTGGTAAGGCCCGTTCCTTCTCCACGCACCAAGCCAGGGGTGCGAGTCGTCAGCCTGGTAAGGCCCGTTCCTCCTCCACGCACCAAGCCAGGGGTGCGCGTCGTCAGCCTGGTAAGGCCCGTTCCTCCTCCACACACCAAGCCAGGGGTGCGAGTCGACAGCCTGGTAAGGATCGCTCCTGTTAAGTCCAGTCCTGCTCCAGCCGGCGGGGCCAGACTGGACCAGGGGCACTATGGGGGGTGTATTGGAGGGTGGTGGTCAAGGCCGGAGCCAGAACCGCCGCCGAGGAGGTATGCCCGCCCAGCCCTCCCCTGGTTTGTTTAGTTGAGGCGCGGTCGCAGTCCGCGCCTTTAGGGGGGGATACTGTCACACCCTGGCTCTGGGACTCATTATGTTGAGCCAGGGTGTGTTCATTTCTATGTGTGTATTTCTGTGTTGGTGTTCATTCTAGTTTGTTGTATTCTATGTTTGCCTGAGTGACTCCCAATCAGAGGCAACGAGTGTCAGCTGTTGGCTGGTTGTCTCTGATTGGGAGCCATATTTAACTGTATGTTTTCCCTTTGTGGTTGTGGGTTTTTGTTCCGTGTTCGGTCATTGATACCGTGGACGTCACGAGTCGTGTTTTGTTTTGTATTTTGATGCTTTAACTAATTAAAGTATGTTTGTTCATCACGCTGCGCCTTGGTCTACTCCTTACCTCGATCGTGACACCCTTAGTCCCTCCCTACCCCTTAGTCCCCTCCCTACCCCTTAGTCCCTCCCTACCCCCTAGTCCCTCCCTACCCCTTAGTCCCTCCCTACTCCTTAGTCCCCCCCTACCCCTTAGTCCCTCCCTACCCCTTAGTCCCCCCCTACCCCTTAGTCCCTCCCTATCCCCCTAGTCCCTCCCTACCCCTTAGTCCCTCCCTACCCCTTAGTCCCCCCCTACCCCTTAGTCCCCCCCTACCCCTTAGTCCCCCCCTACCCCTTAGTCCCTCCCTACCCCTTAGTCCCTCCCTACTCCTTAGTCCCCCCCCTACCCCCTTAGTCCCTCCCTACCCCTTAGTCCCTCCCTACCCCTTAGTCCCTCCCTACTCCTTAGTCCCCCCCCTACCCCTTAGTCCCTCCCTACCCCTTAGTCCCCCCCTACCCCCTTAGTCCCTCCCTATCCCCCTAGTCCCTCCCTATCCCCCTAGTCCCTCCCTACCCCATAGTCCCTCCCTACTCCTTAGTCCCCCCCTACCCCTTAGTCCCTCCCTATCCCCCTAGTCCCTCCCTACCCCTTAGTCCCTCCCTATCCCCCTAGTCCCTCCCTACCCCTTAGTCCCTCCCTACTCCTTAGTCCCCCCCTACCCCTTAGTCCCTCCCTACTTTATAGGCTTGTCGCCTGAGGGCAAAACTGTACCTTGGTCCCAGATATAGCAGAAACAGATCTGGGACCCGGCTAGCAACACTGTGCAATTACACTTAATCGACACACTTTCAATCATCTCACCATGTCAGAGATGAGGTCTCTCCTCTTCTTGACCAGGCCACAGTGCATGGCCCTCCTCTCCCGGTTGAGAGCCTCGTCAAGCCCCTGCTTCACCAGCACCAGCTGCTTCTGGGCCTTGTCTAGCAGCAGCTCCACCTGCTCCCCAGACACATCGCTCCCCCTGGTGGAGCACAGGAGAGGGTGCATTGTCGGAATCTAGGCTACATCTAGAAATAAAGATTTAGGGATACAGCTAAATACACATCTAGAGGCCTGCAGAATTTTCCGAACCCCTTAGTAGCCTACAAATGCTTTAGGAGAGGTAGGTAGAAGACAACAGGTGCTATAAAATCTGACATACAATATAAGACATGTATAGGGTCATAGCATAAACCAACCTCCTGTGTTGGTTGAAGCAGCTCTCTATCTGGCTAGAGGTCTTGGAGAAGGTCTCAGAGATGAGGCCCTTCAGGCTGTGGAGGCTGTGCACCAGGAACCTCCTCTGGGCATGGCGCTCTCCCAGCATGCAACGCTGGTTGGCCAGGACCACGTCCAGCACCTCCTCCAGTTGATTCTGGAGAGATAAGATTAATTGAGATGAGAGAAGATGAGTTGAGAAGAGAAGAGATAAGATGAGATCGTAAGAGATGAGAATATATTAGATGGGAAAGAATGAGATAAGATATGTGAAGATATGAGAAGAGATGCCATGAAATGAGAAGAGATGCCATGAAATAAGAAGAGATGAGAAGAGACGCCATGAAATGAGAAGAGATGCCATGAAATGAGAAGAGATGCCATGAAATGTGAAGAGATGAGAAGAGATGCCATGAAATGAGAAGAGACGCCATGAAATGAGAAGAGATGCCAAGAAATGAGAAGAGATGCCATGAAATTAGAAGAGATGAGAAGAGATGCCATAAAATGAGAAGACATACCATGAAATGAGAAGAGATGCCATGAAATGAGAAGAGATGCCATGAAATGTGAAGAGATAAGAGACGCCATGAAATGAGAAGAGATGCCATGAAATGTGAAGAGATAAGAGATGCCGTGAAATGAGAAGAGATGCCGTGAAATGAGAAGAGATGCCATGAAATGTGAAGAGATGAGAAGAGATGCCATACAATGTGAAGAGATGAGAAGAGATGCCATGAAATGAGAAGAGATGCCATGAAATGAGAAGAGATGAGAAGAGATGCCATAAAATGAGAAGTGATTACACAAAATGAGAAGAGATGCCATAAAATGAGAAGACATACCATGAAATGAGAAGAGATGCCATGAAATGAGAAGAGATGCCATGAAATGTGAAGAGATAAGAGAAGCCATGAAATGAGAAGAGATGCCATGAAATGTGAAGAGATAAGAGATGCCGTGAAATGAGAAGAGATGCCGTGAAATGAGAAGAGATGCCATGAAATGTGAAGAGATGAGAAGAGATGCCATACAATGTGAAGAGATGAGAAGAGATGCCATGAATGAGAAGAGATGCCATGAAATGAGAAGAGATGAGAAGAGATGCCATAAAATGAGAAGTGATTACACAAAATGAGAAGAGATGCCATGAAATGAGAAGAGATGTCATGAAATGAGAAGAGATGCCATGAAATGAGAAGAGATGCAATTAAATGAGAAGAGATGCCATGAAATGTGAAGAGATAAGAAGAGACGCCATGAAATGAGAAGAGATGCCATGAAATGAGAAGAGATGCCATGAAATGAGAAGAGATGCCATGAAATGGGAAGAGATGCCATGAAATGAGAAGAGATGCCATGAAATGTAAAGAGATGAGAAGAGATGCCATTAAATGAGAAGAGATGCCATGAAATGAGAAGAGATGCCATGAAATGTGAAGAGATGAGAGATACCGTGAAATGAGAAGAGATGCCGTGAAAAAGAGAAGAGATGCCATGAAATGTGAAGAGATGAGAAGAGATGCCATGAAATGTGAAGAGATGAGAAGAGATGCCATAAAATGAGAAGTGATTACACAAAATGAGAAGAGATGCCATGAAATGAGAAGAGATGCCATGAAATGAGAAGAGATGCAATTAAATGAGAAGAGATGCCATGAAATGAGAAGAGATAAGAAGAGACGCCATGAAATGAGAAGAGATGCCATGAAATGAGAAGATATGCCATGAAATGGGAAGAGATGAGAAGAGATGTCATAAAATGAGAAGACATACCATGAAATTAGAAGAGATGCCATGAAATGAGAAGAGATGCCATGAAATGTGAAGAGATAAGAGATGCCGTGAAATGAGAAGAGATGCCGTGAAATGAGAAGAGATGCCATGAAATATGAAGAGATGAGAAGAGATGCCATGAAATGTGAAGAGATAAGAGATGCCATGAAATGAGAAGAGATGCCATGAAATGAGAAGATATGCCATGAAATGAGAAGAGATAAGAAGATACGCCATGAAATGAGAAGAGATGCCATGAAATGAGAAGAGATGCCATGAAATGGGAAGAGATGCCATGAAATGAGAAGAGATGCCATGAAATATGAAGAGATGAGAGATGCCGTGAAATGAGAAGAGATGCTGTGAAATGAGAAGAGATGCCATGAAATGTGAAGAGATGAGAAGAGATGCCATGAAATGTGAAGAGATGAGAAGAGATGCCATAAAATGAGAAGTGATTACACAAAATGAGAAGAGATGCAATTAAATGAGAAGAGATGCCATGAAATGAGAAGAGATGCCATGAAATGTGAAGAGATAAGAAGAGACGCCATGAAATGAGAAAACATGCCATGAAATGAGAAGAGATGCCATGAAATGAGAAGAGATGCCATGAAATGAGAAGAGATGTCATGAAATTTGAAGAGATGCCATGAAATGTGAAGAGATGAGAAGAGATGCCATAAAATGAGAAGAGATGCCATGAAATGAGAAGAGATGCCATGAACTGAGAAGAGATGCCATGAAATGAGAAGAGATGCCATGAAATGTGAAGAGATGAGAAGAGATGGAATAAAATGAGAAGAGATGCCATAAAATGAGAAGAGATGCCATGAAATGAGAAGAGATGCCATGAAATGTGAAGAGATAAGAGATGCCATGAAATGGGAAGAGATGCCATGAAATGAGAAGAGATGCCATGAAATGTAAAGAGATGAGAAGAGATGCAATAAAATGAGAAAACATGCCATGAAATGAGAAGAGATGCCATGAAATGAGAAGAGATGCCATGAAATGAGAAGAGATGCCATGAAATGTGAAGAGATAAGAAGAGACGCCATGAAATGAGAAGAGATGTCATGAAATGAGAAGAGATGCCATGAAATGGGAAGAGATGCCATGAAATGAGAAGAGATTCCATGAAATGTAAAGAGATGAGAGATGCCGTGAAATGAGAAGAGATGCCATTAAATGAGAAGAGATGCCATGAAATGAGAAGAGATGCCATGAAATGTGAAGAGATGAGAGATGCCGTGAAATGAGAAGAGATGCCGTGAAATGAGAAGAGATGCCATGAAATGTGAAGAGATGAGAAGAGATGCCATGAAATGTGAAGAGATGAGAAGAGATGCCATAAAATGAGAAGTGATTACACAAAATGAGAAGAGATGCCATGAAATGAGAAGAGATGCCATGAAATGAGAAGAGATGTCCATGAAATGAGAAGAGATGCAATTAAATGAGAAGAGATGCCATGAAATGTGAAGAGATAAGAAGACACGCCATGAAATGAGAAGAGATGCCATGAAATGGGAAGAGATGCCATGAAATGTGAAGAGATAAGAAGAGACGCCATGAAATGAGAAGAGATGCCATGAAATGTGAAGAGATAAGAGATGCCGTGAAATGAGAAGAGATGCCGTGAAATGAGAAGAGATGCCATGAAATGAGAAGAGATGCAATTAAATGAGAAGAGATGCCATGAAATGTGAAGAGATAAGAAGAGACGCCATGAAATGAGAAGAGATGCCATGAAATGAGAAGAGATGCCATGAAATGCGAAGAGATGAGAGATGCCGTGAAATGAGAATAGATGCCGTGAAATGAGAAGAGATACCATAAAATGTGAAGAGATGAGAAGAGATGCCATGAAATGTGAAGAGATGAGAAGAGATGCCAAAAAATGAGAAGTGATTACACAAAATGAGAAGAGATGCCATGAAATGAGAAGAGATGCCATGAAATTAGAAGAGATGCAATTAAATGAGAAGAGATGCCATGAAATGAGAAGAGATGCCATGAAATGTGAAGAGATAAGAAGAGACGCCATGAAATGAGAAGAGATGCCATGAAATGTGAAGAGATAAGAAGAGACGCCATGAAATGAGAAGAGATAAGAAGAGACGCCATGAAATGAGAAGAGATGCCATGAAATGTGAAGAGATAAGAGATGCCGTGAAATGAGAAGAGATGCCGTGAAATGAGAAGAGATGCCATGTAATGTGAAGAGATGAGATGCCATACAATGTGAAGAGTTGAGAAGAGATGCCATGAAATGAGAAGAGATGAGAAGAGATGCCATAAAAGTAGAAGTGATTACACAAAATGAGAAGAGATGCCATGAAATGAGAAGAGATGCCATGAAATGAGAAGAGATGCCATGAAATGAGAAGAGATGCAATGAAATGAGAAGAGATGCCATGAAATGAGAAGAGATGCTATGAAATGTAAAGAGATGAGAAGAGATGCCATTAAATGAGAAGAGATGCCATGAAATGAGAAGAGATGCCATGAAATGTGAAGAGATGAGAGATGCCGTGAAATGAGAAGAGATGCCGTGAAATGAGAAGAGATACCATGAAAAGTTAAGAGATGAGAAGAGATGCCATGAAATGTGAAGAGATGAGAAGAGATGCCAAAAAATTAGAAGTGATTACACAAAATGAGAAGAGATGCCATGAAATGAGAAGAGATGCCATGAAATGAGAAGAGATGCCATGAAATGAGAAGATATGCAATTAAATGAGAAGAGATGCCATGAAATGAGAAGAGATGCCATGAAATGTGAAGAGATAAGAAGAGACGCCATGAAATGAGAAGAGATGCCATGAATTGAGAAGAGATGCCATGAAATGGGAAGAGATGCCATGAAATGAGAAGAGATGCCATGAAATGTAAAGAGATGAGAAGAGATGCCATAAAATGAGAAAACATGCCATGAAATGTAAAGAGATGCCATGAAATGAGAAGAGATGCCATGAAATGAGAAGAGATGCCATGAAATGAGAAGAGATACAATTAAATGAGAAGAGATGCCATGAAATGAGAAGAGATGCCATGAAATGTGAAGAGATAAGAAGAGACGCCATGAAATGAGAAGAGATGCCATGAAATGGGAAGAGATGCCATGAAATGGGAAGAGATGCCATGAAATGAGAAGAGATGCCATGAAATGTAAAGAGATGAGAAGAGATGCCATAATATGAGAAAACATGCCATGAAATGAGAAGAGATGCCATGAAATGAGAAGAGATGCCATGAAATGAGAAGAGATGTCATGAAATTTGAAGAGATGCCATGAAATGTGAAGAGATAAGAAGAGACGCCATGAAATGAGAAGAGATGCCATGAAATGAGAAGAGATGCCATGGGATGGGAAGAGATGCCATGAAATGAGAAGAGATGCCATGAAATGTAAAGAGATGAGAAGAGATGCCATAAAATGAGAAGAGATGCCATGAAATGAGAAGAGATGCCATGAAATGTGAAGAGATGCCATGAAATGTGAAGAGATAAGAGATGCCATGAAATGAGAAAAGATGCCATGAAATGTGAAGAGATGCCTTGAAATGTGAAGAGATGAGAAGAGATGGAATAAAATGAGAAGAGATACCATTAAGTTTTTCCTTTTCACATAATATCCCCGAGCCCGAAACAACATTCAGGGATGCACCCAGCAAAACCTTGATGAAAACTATAGCTACTACCTGAACATGTCCTATAAGAATGCTTTTTCCGTTGCCCGTTTTAAAGTGTTTCCGTCTGTTTGTTCATTTTACATTTACATTTTAGTCATTTAGCAGACACTCTTATCCAGAGCGACTTACAGTTAGTGAGTGCATACATTTTTCATACTGTTCCTACTGAACGTGACCCAGGTGTAGGCTCTGGCTCACTAGCTTACCTGGTAGGTGAAGTAGTCATGCAGGAGACTCCTGGCCACGGTCTTCTCCAGTTCGCCCATCCTGGTGGCTTCCTCCAGTTCCTCTGAGAAGATCTGGTGCAGCTCTACTCTCCTCCACTCCACTATGTGCCTCTGGACCTTGGCAGATGCCTCCTCATGTCTCGCCAGCAGGGTGCGCTGGAGCTGACTCTGATTCAGCTTGTGGAGCTTCTCCAGGAGGACACCACATTGGAGGAGCTCCTGGAGAATCAACCAAAACGAACCAGACCTGGGTCAAATATAAGTGTGATATACTTGAAGTGTACTTTATTTAGCCTGTCCAAATGTGTTTATTTTATTTTATGTAAATTGATTATTTTTGTCATTTAGCAGACGACTTACATAAGCAATTAGGTTTAAGTGCCTTGCTCAAGGGCACATCGACATATTTTTTCACCTAGTCTGCTCGGGGATTCGAACCACTGACCTTTCGGTTACTGTCCCAACGCTCTTAACCGCTAGGCTACCTGCCGTCCTGTCCAGTGAAATGGAGAGCTACTGAGCGTGCAGGCTTTTGCTCCAGCCCACACCTGCTTCAAATAATCACCTAACATTTACATTTTAGTCACTTCAGCATAATTAGCTGAATCAGGTGTGTTAGTGCAGTGCTGGTGAAAAAGCCTGCACACCCACACTCTCCAGGAAGAGTGTTAGTCATGCCAGCCCTGGACTAGGGGGTTGGTTCTCCATCTGTGCCTGTAGGAGCCATTTCTGGCCTGTTTAACCAATTCCTTGTGCACAAGTCACATTGATCTCTACCTGTGCCAGTGATTTTTTGATTGACAATAGCCCCTACAGACAGTACCTGTTGGCCGGCGTGCTGAAACAGCACCTCTGCCCGGGCCTTCTCCTGGGCCTCCCTGCGGTGCTCGGCCTCCATCTGCTCCCGGGTCTCCAGGTTACACTGGGCCGCCAGGGTTGCCATGCGCGCCACGTGCTCCTCCTTCAGCTTGCCCTCCATGCCCATCAGCTGGCCGTGGAGCACGCTCAGGAGGCGCTGCTCGGCCTGCTGGGACATGTGATTCTGGGAGCGCAGCGCGGCCAGCAGGGCGGCGATCACGTCCTTGTACATCTGGACACGGCTGCTCTCCAGGCTAGAGGTGGCCCGCAGCAGGCTGGACATCTCCAGGCTGTGAGGTGTCAGATGTATATTATAATGCTTTTTCTGACTTTACACTTTATCATTCAGTAACACAATGCAGACGGGTATAATGCAATATGATGCCCGAGTAATTTTACACATGTATGACTGCCTAATAAACTTCTAAGCATCCTGACATAATGATCCTGACTAAATATCAGCTGCTTCAGTCTAGTCAGAATAGAAATACATCATATAAGCATTGAGTATAAGACACAATAAAGGCTTATATAGGCTTATGATGAGTAATAAAGCATTATTTCTGCTAGTGTAGCCATACTTCTCCAGAGCTTGATACATGTTCTGGGGGTCTTCCAGCACCATAATGTCCACCATCTTGTCCTCGAATGCCGCCTCTTCTTTGGCCGTCTCGCTCATGTTGCACACTGCATACTCAGGGTCTGAATCACCTCGCTTTTTCTATGCAAAAGACAGACATACAGCGAAATAGTAACACTCTCTCTACTGTGGGTTGTTTTCAAATAGAAATAAATAATCCTTAAGTCAACCAACAAGAGGGAAAAAAGACATCACTCTAAATCTTTCAAATAAAGGACAAAATCTGTTTAACTTTTCATCGGTTTCATTGGGGTTTTTCCCCGGCTGTAGCCCAAGTTCCACATCTGCCACTGCTGTCTTCCCAAATCCATTGCTGTCACTGTCACGCAGCCAACATGGCACTGTCACGCAGCAATGGAGTTGGCAAGACAGCAAAAACAATCTGGGACACAGGCTAGCTAATTGTTGTGAGGTAATAGTCATAACAGCCTACCCTTCGCTGCAGAGAGGTTTTCCTGGCTCTGGCACATATCAGGTTCATAGCCAGAAATCCTAGGGACAGCAGCAACAAGGATAGGAAGAATCCCCCAACAAACCCAGCAAAGTGGACCCCGTGATTGGGGTGAATCTGAAAGTAGGTCATATTAGATATTTACTTAACATTCAGTATAGAGAAAGAAATGAGTATCATGGTCATGGCCAAACCTGTGACCTGATAACTGTGATACAACGTCTGTAAGGTGAGGCAGGCGACTGTACTAAGAAGTCCATACTAAGTTACCTTGTCCGTGGAGTTCACCCTCAGTGTCAAATTAGCCACCACTGGACCAAACATATTGACGTCATTCTGTGGAGCGAGAACAGTTAAAGTTACCATGAAATAATGCCTATCAGAGGAGGCTGGTGGGTGGAGCTATATAGGAGGATGAGTTCATTGTAAAGACTGGAATGGAATTAATGGAATGGTATCAAACGCACCAAACATATGGAATCCACATTTGACTCTGTTCCATTTATTCCATTCCAGCCATTACAATGAGCCTGTCCTCCTATAGCTCCTCCCACCAGCCTCATCTGATGCCTATGTATAGTAATGTAAAGTGTTTCTGATGGCGAGAAACAAAAAAAGCAAGTTAAATATGAAAAAAGTAGTGAGAGTACAGTACCAGTGAAGCATTGGAGAATGTTAGGAAGGCTGGCAGGTCCAGAATTTCACTCTTGTGACCCTTGATGAGGGCAGTATACGTCACAACATACTGAGACCCAGCTGTAGGAACACAACCAAAACAATGTAAGAATCCATATCAAAATCATTCTCACAATGGTTATGATTGATAGTTCAGGTGGAGCCTGAGGTCCTGTTCAGCGGGACACACTAGCAGAACCTTTTGAAACTGAAAACAAAAATGAACATAACTTGTTATTAGACAGGTTCAGGTAGTACCTAACCATTCATAATCTGTTATTAGACAGGTTCAGGTAGTACCTAACCATTCATAATCTGTTATTAGACAGGTTCAGGTAGTACCTAACCATTCATAATCTGTTATTAGACAGGTTCAGGTAGTACCTAACCATTCATAATCTGTTATTAGACAGGTTCAGGTAGTACCTAACCATTCATAATCTGTTATTAGACAGGTTCAGGTAGTACCTAACCATTCATAATCTGTTATTAGACAGGTTCAGGTAATACCTAACCATTCATAATCTGTTATTAGACAGGTTCAGGTAGTACCTAACCAATCATAATCTGTTATTAGACAGGTTCAGGTAGTACCTAACCAATCATAATCTGTTATTAGACAGGTTCAGGTAATACCTAACCATTCATAATCTGTTATTAGACAGGTTCAGGTAGTACCTAACCATTCATAATCTGTTATTAGACAGGTTCAGGTAGTACCTAACCATTCATAATCTGTTATTAGACAGGTTCAGGTAGTACCTAACCATTCATAATCTGTTATTAGACAGGTAGTACCTAACCATTCATAATCTGTTATTAGACAGGTTCAGGTAGTACCTAACCATTCATAATCTGTTATCTGTAGCTCAGCTGGTAGAGCACGGCGCTTGTAACGCCAAGGTAGTGGGTTCGATCCCCGGGACCACCCATATACAAAAATGTATGCACGCATGACTGTAAGTCGCTTTGGATAAAAGCGTCAGCTAAATGGCATATTATTATTATTATTATTATTATTATTAGACAGGTTCAAGTAGTACCTAACCATTCATAATCTGTTATTAGACAGGTTCAGGTAGTACCTAACCAATCATAATCTGTTATTAGACAGGTTCAGGTAGTACCTAACCATTCATAATCTGTTATTAGACAGGTTCAGGTAGTACCTAACCAATCATAATCTGTTATTAGACAGGTTCGGGTAGTACCTAACCATTCATAATCTGTTATTAGACAGGTTCAGGTAGTACCTAACCAATCATAATCTGTTATTAGACAGGTTAAGGTAGTACCTAACCATTCATAATCTGTTATTAGACAGGTTAAGGTAGTACCTAACCATACATAATCTGTTATTAGACAGGTTCAGGTAATACCTAACCAATCATAATCTGTTATTAGACAGGTTCAGGTAGTACCTAACCATTCATAATCTGTTATTAGACAGGTTCAGGTAGTACCTAACCAATCATAATCTGTTATTAGACAGGTTCAGGTAGTACCTAACCATTCATAATCTGTTATTAGACAGGTTAAGGTAGTACCTAACCATACATAATATGTTATTAGACAGGTTCAGGTAATACCTAACCATTCATAATCTTTTATTAGACAGGTTCAGGCAGTACCTTACCATTCATAATCTGTTATTAGACAGGTTAAGGTAGTACCTAACCATTCATAATCTGTTATTAGACAGGTTCAGGTAGTATCTAACCATTCATAATCTGTTATTAGACAGGTAGTACCTAACCATTCATAATCTGTTTGTAAGGGATCGGGTCTTGGCTGGGTCTAGTCAGAGTCTGACACTTCCCCGATCTACAGAGAGGGGGAGTCATCAGACTTGATCTGGTTCACCTGAGTTCTGAGCACACCTGTCAGTAATTAGTGTAGGATTTAAGGTGTGCTCAGAAGTTCAGTCGGTGCGAGGTATTGTTCCATTGTGACTTGCTAAGCGTTTTGTTCCGAGAGAGTGTCACGCCCTGGCTCTGGGGACACTGTTATGTTGAGCCAGGGTGTGTAGATCAATGTGTTTTGTTTCTATGGGTGCTATTTCTATGTTGGCCAGAGTGGCTCCCAATCAGAGGCAACGAGTGTCAGGTGTTGCGGGTTGTCTCTGATTGGGAGCCATATTTAAACAGTCTGTTTTTCATTCGTGTTTGTGGGATTTTGTTTCCAGTCGGTTTGTGTTAGACCGTGAACTGTCACGATATCGTTTTGTTGTTTTGGTCATTTGACGCTAAATAAAGAGTATGTTTGCCTGCAACGCTGCGCCTTGGTCCTCATCTGTTCCTGACGATCGTGACAGAAAATCCCACCAGAACTGGACCAAGCAGCGAGTCGAGGAGCCATCGCCAGGGAAATCCCTAGCAGATCTCCGTGGCAGCCTCGACTGGGTCAAGCCGAGTGAAGAGCAGAGAGGGTGGACTTGGGAACAGTGGAGGAAGAGTCTCGACTGGGTCAAGCCTAATGAAGAGCAGAATGGCTGGAGTTGGAGGCAGAAGAGCGAGAGTTGGGCGAGAACTATAGAGGCCTGGCCCACGGGGAGGAGAGACCCCCAGAAATTCTTTAGGGGGGGGCTCACGCCGGGGACGACGGGGCAGCAGGAGGCCGCGATGGAGCGGTCCAGCGGGTGTGCAAGGGAGGCCGCCAGGTTGAGGGGGCCACTGGTCACAGAGGAGAGGGAAAGTGTGGAGGCACGGCGAGAGGTACTGGTGTGTGTTACCAGTCCGGTCCGGCCCGTTCCTGATCCCTGCATAGGGCCAGTGATGTGTGTCCCCAGTACGGTCCGGCCTGTTCCTGTTCCTCGCATCGAGCCTGTGGTGCGCGTCGCCAGCCCGGTCCGGCCTGTTCCTGCTCCCCGCACCGACCCTATGGTGAGCGTCGCCAGCCCGGTCCGGCCCACTCCTGCTCCCCACACCAAGCCAGTGGTGTGCGTCGTCAGTCCGGCACGGCCCGTGCCCGTTCCCCACGCCAAGCCAGTGGTGTGCGTCGTCAGTCCGGCACGGCCCGTGCCTGTTCCCCACACCAAGCCAGTGGTGTGCGTCGCCAGCCCGGTCCGGCCCGCTCCTGCTCCCCACACCAAGCCAGTGGTGTGCGTCGCCAGTCCGGTCCGGCCTGTTCCTGCTCCCCGCACCAAGTCAGTGGGGCGCTTCGTCAGCCCGGCTCGGCCCGTTCCTGCTCCCCGCACCAAGTCAGTGGTGCGTTTCGTCAGCCCGGTTCGGCCCGCTCCTGCTCCCCGCACCAAGTCAGTGGTGCGCTTCGTCAGCCAGGCTCGGCCCGTTCCTGCTCCCCGCACCACGTCAGTGGTGCGCTTCGTCAGCCCGGCTCGGCCCGTTCCTGCTCCCCGCACCAAGTCAGTGGTGCGTTTCGTCAGCCCGGTTCGGCCCGCTCCTGCTCCCCGCACCAAGTCAGGGGTGCGTTTCGTCAGCCCGGCTCGGGCCGTTCCTGCTCCCCACACCAAGCCAGTGGTGTGCGTCGTCAGTCCGGCACAGCCCGTGCCTGTTCCACTGGTGCCTGGTTCAGCACGGGTCAGCTGCTTCACGCCGGAGCTAGAGCAATCCGCTCCACCAGTGTGCAGTCCAGCTCCGGCCAGACCGGACCAGGGGTACTTTGGGGGGTTGGAGAGGGAGCGGGGATCAGGCCCGGAGCCGGATCCGCCGCCTAGGCGGAGTGCCCACCCGGTCCCTCCCCTGTGGTATTTGGTTGACGCGGTTGGAGTCCGCGCCTTTAGGGGGGGGTACTGTCACGCCCTGGCTCTGGGGACACTGTTATGTTGAGCCAGGGTGTGTAGATCAATGTGTTTTGTTTCTATGGGTGCTATTTCTATGTTGGCCAGAGTGGCTCCCAGTCAGAGGCAACGAGTGTCAGGTGTTGCGGGTTGTCTCTGATTGGGAGCCATATTTAAACAGTCTGTTTTTCATTCGTGTTTGTGGGATTTTGTTTCCAGTCGGTTTGTGTTAGACCGTGAACTGTCACAATATCGTTTTGTTGTTTTGGTCATTTGACGCTAAATAAAGAGTATGTTTGCCTGCAACGCTGCGCCTTGGTCCTCATCTGTTCCTGACGATCGTGACAGAGAGAGAGAGAGAGTTTTTTTTTTTTTGATTACCCGTGTATCCGACCAGTGCCTTGTTGTTTGACTCCCCGTATCGCTTAACCCTCTGCTTGTCTATCTCAGTGATTACCGTACTCTGACCCTGTGCCTGTGCCCTCGACTACGACTACGCCCGCTCCCTTGGTACCTCTGCCTGTCTATGCCTGGCCCGGTTTTGACCACAGCCCGCCCGACCACGATTAAGCTATTCCCTTGTCTGTACTCTAATAAAGCATCGCGATTCTGCGATTGGATCTTACCACTCTGTCCGAGTATTCATTACAGAATACCTCGCCATTACCATGGATCCAGCGGAATTACAGAGGCGATGGGAGATACAGGAGAAACGCATGGATGAACTCCTACAGCTACTCAACGCTGGTGCAGCTGAAGGCACCACCCCGAGCACGGTCAGTCCTCGTCCTACACCTCCGATTTCTCTACCGACTAGGTACAACGGGGAACCTGGCAAATGTCAGGGGTTTCTACTTCAGACGTCCCTGTATATGTCGTATAATCGTACTATGTTTCCCGATGACCGTAGCAGGGTGGATTTCATGATTTCTCTACTAACGGGAAGAGCACTGGATTGGGCTACTGCGCTTTGGGCAGCTGAGGTTCCCGAGTTGAATGCGGAAGTTCAGTTCAAGAGACTGTTCCAGGAGGTGTTCGACCACCCAGTATCTGGGCGTAGTGTGGGAGACCAACTATGCGAACTTCAGCAGGGCCGTCGCACCGTAGCCGACTACGCTTTAGAGTTCCGTACTATAGCAGCCGGTAGCGGATGGAGCGAGACGGCTTTGCTCACCGTTTTCCGAAGAGGGCTGCGCAAAGACGTACAGACTGAGTTGGCTTGTCGAGGAGATATCACTGCGCTACATGAATTTATCAAAATAGCCATCTCTATTGATAATCTTATAGTGCAACACAAGGTATCCACAGTCCGGGAGCCCTCGATCACTGGTCCTCAGCAATCGACAGAGCGGAGGAGAGAATCTGAGGAGGAACCTATGCAACTGGGACGGTCACCTCTACAAGGGTCGGTGAGACAACAACGTCGGCAAGACGGACTATGCCTGTATTGTAGTCAGTTGGGTCATTTCGTTCGTCAATGTCCGGTACGACCAAACCGTACCCCAGGATATCGCCTCGGAACTGCCAAACCGGTGAGTGAGACTCCAGTTTTGAACATTACATCTAAACAAATGTATGTGCCAGTTACCTTATCTGTCGGAGAGAAAGTGCGCAGGTTGGAAGGACTTATTGATTCCGGAGCGGCTGCCAGCTTTCTGGATATGGGTCTTGCTGAGGAGTTGGGAGTTCAACTTATCCCAATTCAACCTCCCCTGCGAGTCAACGCGCTAGACGGTGAGCCCATGGGCACTGGGTTCATTACGCACCGTACCGAGGAAATCAAATTACAAGTGGGCTCCCTGCACCATGAGAACATCATTCTGTTCGTCATCTCCGCTCCACGGGAGCCGCTAGTCCTCGGCCACCCCTGGCTCGTTACCCATGATCCGGTCATCTCCTGGAAATCTGGCGATATCACGGCTTGGAGTGAGGTATGTAGGGCAGAGTGCCTCATTTTACCTTGCAAAACGTCTACTGTGGAGGATGCGAAGGGTGCGGTGTCTACTGTTGTTCCTACAGAGTACCAGGATTACGCGCAGGTGTTCTCCAAGGAGAGGGCTACCGTGTTACCACCGCATCGGGCCTGGGATTGTGCAATTGATCTGCTATCCGGGGCGACACCTCCTCGCGGACAAATCTACCCTTTGTCACAGCCGGAACGAGAATCAATGAGCAAGTATATTGATGAGGCACTACAGCAAGGGGCCATTCGCCCATCTACGTCTCCCGCCGCATCCAGTTTTTTTTTTGTTAAGAAAAAGGATGGCGGACTGCGTCCTTGTATAGACTATCGAGGTTTGAACGATATAACCATTAAAAATCGTTACCCCCTTCCTTTGATTCCAGCAGCCCTCGAGCAGGTGGGGCAGGCCTCCATCTACAGTAAACTGGACCTCAGGAGTGCGTACAATCTGGTGCGCATTAGAGAAGGGGATGAATGGAAGACCACCATCACCCATCGAGGACATTATGAATATTGTGTCATGCCCTATGGACTTACTAACGCGCCCTCTGTGTTCCAGGCGTTCATGAATGACATTTTCAGGGACTTGATTGATCGCTTTGTCATAGTGTACATTGATGACATCCTAATCTACTCTAACTCTCTGAGTGAACATGTGTCCCATGTACGACAGGTTCTGGACCGAATCCGACAACACTCTCTGTTCGTGAAGGCCGAAAAGAGTGAATTCCATGTCACGACGATTTCCTTCCTTGGGGCCATACTCACTCCCGACGGGGTAAAACTGGATGAATCCAAGGTGCAAGCTGTACGAGACTGGCCTCAACCACAGACGGTGAAAGAGCTCCAGAGATTCTTAGGGTTTGCCAATTACTATAGACGGTTCGTGCGTAATTTCAGCACAACCGCAGCTCCCCTGTCGGCGATGACCAGCTACAAGGGTCGTGGTCTGAAATGGACGGAGGGGGCAGTGCGGGCTTTTGAGACATTGAAACAACGATTTACCACCGCTCCCATTTTATGTCAGCCGGATCCTACCTTGCCGTTCATCGTGGAGGTGGACGCCTCGGAGGTTGGAGTTGGAGCCGTGCTATCCCAGCGCCAAGGTGAGCCGCCCAAATCACGACCCTGTGCCTTTTTTTCTAAGAAGCTGAATCCGGCCGAGCAGAACTACGACGTGGGAAATCGGGAATTACTGGCGGTGAAGTTAGCACTGGAGGAGTGGAGACATTGGCTGGAGGGAGCAGCTCATCCGTTCCAAGTGCTCACGGACCACCGCAATCTGGAGTATCTTCACAGTGCTAAGCGACTGAACTCCCGACAGGCAAGGTGGTCTTTATTCTTCACCCGTTTCCAATTCACTGTCTCTTATATTCCCGGGTCCAAGAATTGTAAGGCGGACGCGCTTTCCCGACGGTTCAAGCGCGCTGAAAGACCGGTGGAACCAGAACCTATCCTCCCCATGAGTTGCCGTGCTGGTCCTGTGAGGTGGGCTATCGATGACACGATTCAGGAGAGCTTACAAGCGGAACCAGCTCCTCCAGAAACCCCGGTGTCGAAGGTGTTTGTACCAGCTCCGCTTCGACCTCAACTGATGGAATGGTGCCACACGTCGCTGGGATCTGGTCATCCCGGAATCACTCGAACTACACGACTCATCAGCCGAAAATACTGGTGGGATTCCCTCACAGATGATGTCAGAGACTGTCTTATCCTGTCCAGTATGTGCTCAGTCCAAGGTACCTCGTGCACTACCGGAGGGTAAGCTGATGCCATTGCCAACTCCTCAACGACCCTGGTCGCACATTGCAATGGACTTTGTTACCGACCTACCAGAATCAGACGGCCATACTGTAATTCTCGTGGTCATCGATCGTTTCTCCAAGATGTGCCGGTTGGTACCCATGAACCGTTTGCCTAACGCCACTCAGATGGCTGAGACTATGTTTACCCAGGTGTTCCGGCAGTTTGGTGTCCCGGAGGATATTGTTTCCGACCGGGGACCCCAGTTTGTATTCCGGTTCTGGAAGGCCTTCTGCGAACGCTTGGGCATCTCGGTTAGCCTAACCTCCGGATATCATCCCCAGGCCAATGGGCAGACAGAACGGCTCAACCAGGAAATTGGGAAGTATCTACGGCAACAATGTTCGCGGCAGCCGCAAGAGTGGAGCCTATTCCTTCCTTGGGTAGAGTATGCTCAGAACTCTCTCATTCACACCTCCCTACGTCTAACGCCCTTTCAGTGTGTTCTAGGGTATCAACCACCCCTGTTCCCGTGGGATACCGCACCCGGGATGGTACCAGCGGTGGACGAGTGGTTCCGTCGGAGTGCGCAGGTCTGGGAGACGGCCCATCAACATCTCAGTCAAGCCTCACAACAGCAAAAGACCTACGCCAACCGACGCCGGAGACCTACTCCCACTTATCAACCCGGGCAGCGAGTGTGGCTGTCTACCCGAGACCTGCGGTTCGGACGGAGCTGCAAGAAGCTCCAACCCAGGTACATTGGTCCCTTCAAGATACAGAGACGTATTAACCCTGTCACCTACCGTCTGTTACTCCCTCGACACTACAGGATAAACCCTACGTTCCACGTCTCCCTGTTGAAACCTGTCCATTATAGCCCGATGTACCCACCAATCGCTCAACAACCTACTACACCACCTTTGGAGGATGAACAGGACACCACCTATACAGTCCACGAGATACTGGAGTCAAGACGGAGACGAGGGGGCATCGAATATCTCGTGGACTGGGAGGGATATGGACCGGAGGAACGGTCCTGGGTCCCTGCTAAGGACATACTAGACCCCGCTCTCAAGGCCACTTTCCACGCTGAACACCCAGATCATCCCGGACCCCGACCCAGAGGAAGACCACCCGGTAGAGGTAGAAGGCCGTCAGGAGCCGGCCCTGGGGAGGGGGATACTGTAAGGGATCGGGGGTTGGCTGGGTCTAGTCAGAGTCTGACACTTCCCCGATCTACAGAGAGGGGGAGTCATCAGACTCGATCTGGTTCACCTGAGTTCTGAGCACACCTGTCAGTAATTAGTGTAGGATTTAAGGTGTGCTCAGAAGTTCAGTCGGTGCGAGGTATTGTTCCATTGTGACTTGCTAAGCGTTTTGTTCCGAGAGAGAGAGAGAGTTTGTTGTTTTTTGATTACCCGTGTATCCGACCAGTGCCTTGTTGTTTGACTCCCCGTATTGCTTAACCCTCTGCTTGTCTATCTCAGTGATTACCGTACTCTGACCCTGTGCCTGTGCCCTCGACTACGACTACGCCCGCTCCCTTGGTACCTCTGCCTGTCTATGCCTGGCCCGGTTTTGACCACAGCCCGCCCGACCACGATTAAGCTATTCCCTTGTCTGTACTCTAATAAAGCATCGCGATTCTGCGATTGGATCTTACCACTCTGTCCGAGTATTCATTACACTGTTATTAGACAGGTTCAGGTAATACCTAACCATTCATAATCTGTTAATAGACAGGTTAAGGTAGTACCTAACCATTCATAATCTGTTATTAGACAGGTAGTACCTAACCATTCATAATCTGTTATTAGACAGGTTTAGGTAGTACCTACCATTCAATCAAATGTACAATACAAATGTATTCTTCTTCCTTTTTATGGCTACCTAACACGACCTGGGTGACAGACAGACAGACAGACTGAGGAGAGACAGATTTCTCATGACTTTTACCTGGAAGTGAGTCAATGGTGAAGGTCTGGAAGCCTTTCTCAACCACCATCCCCACACTCTGAAGGGGTGCTATCCCAGATACGGAGTCCCTGATGGCCAGCTGGGACAGGTTGGTGCCCCCCGGAGGCCCGATGTTGTGGATGAGCAGGAAGAATGTCAGATGGGGGAACTCAGTCCCCACCTCCACCTGTGTCCCAAAGGATCATATAGATAATAGTGCAATGCGAAATATGAGGACATGAGAGAGCGAGATTAAAATATATATAGCGTTGAGGACATGATATGATAGCTGTGAAGCCTTCCACATTTTGACTACAAATGCCACATGGGCACACATATAGACTACCAGATATCCGGTCTACCTGAACGGTAACAAGCAATAAGCAAAGCAAGCCCGTCCTCTACACAGTCAACATTACTTACCTGGGCACATTTGTGAAATTTGAGTCCAAACGCTGATGGCTGTGCAGCACTCTGAACCTGAAAGAAAATACAAAAGTAGACGCTACATGCTTTTTTTCTGTTTCACGAAACCATGTATGGAAAATGGCTTCATTATTTTCCATTAGGATTTTTTACCGCAACCCCTGGGGCTTTGTATGTATTTGTGCTGCGTGCATGCTTACCTGAGGCAGAGTGTGACCAGTGATGTATCTGGTGAGGCTCCTCCTGCGGCTCCGGGCTCTATGCTGCATGATGTTAGCCAGGTGGCTTATGGAGGCATAGAGGGACTGTCCCCAGGGGCCTGCTGCTGAGGCCACAGAACGAACAGGACCCTCTTCAGCACAGAAAGCCAAGGGCCCACATTGCCCTTGTTGTCCTGTGAAGGACCATTAGTTAACATATAGTAGTGTACAGTAACAGTACACATTTGATGACACAGTGGGTTGGAACATATGTTACAGCTTAATCATCGGCTACTTACAACTGAGTATGTCACTTTGGATGTTATGCCCTTATTGCTACCCTAGGGATAATACCTCATTAAAATGTACCTGATTCAAATGTGGCTGAGTAGATAATAACAAACCATTCATCTTCTTCAAACTCGGCTCTGCTGATTTTCCACCAGGGTCGTGTTGAAATGGTCTGGGAGAGTCCTGATGAGGGGGAAACTTAGTTAAAAACAAAAACCGGTCAACAACTGCATAGCAGGCAGACGGATGTAAAACCCTTTGTTGGGCATGTAATAGGACAGGCACAGAAATAAAGGAATTGTACTCACTCTAGGTCGATCATTTCCAAATGCGTTCTGTAAAGTTCCCCATGAGAGTAGGGAGTTACAGAACGCGGGATGTATATCGTTGCTGTCCCCCGGGATAGCGGAATGGCATGGATTTTCACGATGGGTTACATTGTGGAACCCATAAAAATTTAAAGGGAGCTGTTGTAGACGTTGTATCCGAAATATAGGCCTATATTCTAGTGTAAAACAGAGGAAAATAGAGAATACAGTGACTTCCACGAAGAAATGTACCTGAAGCATTCGTTTGTGTCCTAAATCTTTCACTACTTCCGAAATCCGTTACATCTTGCATCCTCTTGCTACTGTGTCCGAAGATCGCACATACAATGTCAACATTGTAATTCTTCTCTGATAACACGACATTGTGTTACAATATATCTAAAAAGGTGTCATGCGAAATAGACAAAAAACAGTAGGCTAAACAGCTTGTCCACTGTAAAAACACTGGTCATGGAAATTGGTCATCCAAATTTACTTGAAGACTTCCCCAAAACTATGAAAAAAAGGACAACTCCACCCCTAAACGTGCGTATCATCAAATATGTTCAATGATTGGTTGAATACGCCATCTATGAAACATCGAATCAGTTAATGTAAAAAAAAGTTACTTTGTAATCTTAGTCCATTGTTGTTTTGTTATTTGCTGTGTCATAGCTCAAGTTATTACTTTCTCTGCCATACTTTTTTTTCTAGAAGAACGTTTTGGGGTTATTTTGTGTAGCGCAATGCTGTGCGGTCTTCGTTCATCATCAGTTTGAGTTGTCCTGATTCATTCTTTCAGACCTAGCCTAAAATCTTTTTCTGGAGAAATGCGCGTTTTTCGGCTTTCTTCCATTGCACCAGGGAATTATCCAAAAATGGATACGATTACTGAATGCTCCAATGATGTCTTGGTTCAGTTTGCCGAATCTGCACATATTTACAGGATTATTGACAGTGGCCACTGTATGCGGTGGGTTTTCTGGAATCATAGCGGCAGCCCTTCTGTATGTGTTTTGCCTGAAGCCTATGCTTCCAACTCGACAAGTAAGTTAGTAAAGGTGATTATTATTAGTTTGTGTTATAACACGGTGGTTGAAATGGCCAAATACTGCATGACTGCACTGAGAATAATAACAGCAATATTCAATAACAGTGCAGTCATATAAGCGCACTATTTGGCAAGCATCCACATAATATTAACACTATTTCAACCAATGCGTTGTAACTGTTTAACAACTTAAAGTCTGTAGTAGTCCTTTTGAATACACCCCATATTCATATAACCGATGCACTGATAGTTGAACAGCCCTAACTATCTTCCTTTTGTTTCCACAAGGGCTATGATGCCAGAAGACTGTTTGAGGGAGACGACCAGGATAGGGAGAATAACCAAAGTGACTGTGTCAGCAACAGAAAGAAGGGCGTCCAAAGTGCCACTACCAATGAAAAAGTAAATATTATGTATTTTAGTTATAGATATAGAATATTTTAGCACTATAAATGTGCTCTAGTGTGATAGATATATTGCAAGGTAGGGACAGTGTTGTGTTGTGTTCATCACTGATTGTCTAGTACAGTATCCATGATTCGTATCATTGATTGGACAGTCTATTTTGTGATGCTGCATGTTGAGATAAACGCCAGCTTCAACTGAGAACAAGTGGTTGTTGTTTAAAAAAACAAACATAACATACAGTATGTGTAAATAAAAGCTGATTTGGCTTTCATTAACATTCACCCAATTTTCCATAACAATTCACTGTGTTTATTCATTTACCAGGAAAAGAAGCAGCCACCCATGAACAGCGATGTGGCTGCTTTTGCATCACGGGCCCATCAACCAGAAATACAGAGTAAGATCCTTTTTCTGTTTATATTACAGACTTCATACCACAGAAGCTTTAAAATGTTCTAACCAAATCTATCCAGATTGGAACCCTAATTGGAATGTAATTTTGCCTTCATTCCAAGAGCATGGGATGGGGTTAAAGGGATAGTTCAGCACAAATACATATTTCAATATTTCTTCCCTTCCCTTGAAAGCAGTCTATGGCGGAACTTTCCATTTAAAGACCACATTTTAGGACTGAAAACATCTGGCAAACTTTGACTTTGATGTGAACTGTCCCTTTAATGTCAATTCCCAACGACAGCCCTTAGCGGATGGAGCCTCCAACCCATCGCTGCACAAGCACTACAAGCTTCCTGTCCTCCCCAATGGAGAGTCCTCGACGGACTCTATCGGAGAGTCACTGAGCCAGGACCAGGACAATGCTGACAGCAGCCAGTTCATCTCCTCGCTGGTCCCCAAGAGCCTCTAGAACGAGAGTTTCATCCGGGTGGCCCAGTACCCGCACATGCTCTCTCAGACAGGGTGAGCTGATGTGGGATAGATATTCAGTTAAAGGGATAGTTCAGAGAAATTACATATTAAGATGTGTGTTTCCTTGCCTTGAAATCAGTCTACACTCTTAGAAAAAAGGGATCCAAAAAGGTTATTCGGCTATCCACATGGGATAACTCTTTTGGGTTCCATGTAGATCCCTCTGTTGAAAGGGTTCTACATTGAACCCAAAAGGGTTCTACCTGGAACCCAAAAGGGTTCTACAAAGGTTTCTCCCTTGGGGTGTATACGAGTGTATAGACAATCCTCACTTTAATTTAGATAAACTATCCCTTGGACTGGATCATCAAAGTTGTAGCTGTGTATGATGATGTCATATTTCTGAGTGCCTTTAATGCATTCTACTGTAAATACAAGCTGTGTTTCTAGTGTAGCTGTTCTCATTGTAGTTTTGAGGGCAGGATCAGCCTGTACTGTCTGGCTCTGCAGGACGTGCAGCAACACTGTTCACAGGTCCTGGAGGAGAAATGTGTGGTGGGTGACCTCTTTCTTTCATCACACACTAGCAAACCATTCATAATGCCAACTGTTCATAATACCACTGGTCTGTTGTGATAAAGCTCTTAAAAGAAAAGGAGAAAAAAAACGTGAATGGACTACCTACATGTGTATTTATCCTACTGTTTTTACCAAACTAAGCCAAATGTTCATAATGCACTATGAATGCACTTATAGTGCCTATTATCTCCCCATATAGCATTATAAGACTTGAAATAAGTGCATTTCTATCGATAATACGACGACAGTACTAGTTTGCTATGTAATGTTGTGTCAAATGTTGGTGGGTCAAAATCTCAAGAAGATATCTCCCTTACTTCGCCTGTTTCCTTGCTGTAGCTCTTTTCCAAATTCTCAGAATTATACTCAGCGGTCGGTTTCCCAAGGATAAAAAGGATTCCGAGTTTTACATCAATGTTCTTCTCCTGCAGGAAAAGGTAGGAAGAAATCTCTCAAAATCCTGATATATGCATACATTCTGAAGTTAGGATTGGCTCTTTAGTGATATTTCTCTATCTCTTGTCATTGTAGGAACTGGATGCATTGAAGAAAGAACTGTCAGCCAGCCTATTTGCCTTTGAGAGAAACACAGATCTAAGTTCAGACGCTTGTACCCTGGAGGAGACCGAAAGAACCCAGAAAGACCTATTGGAGCATGGCCTTCAAATGGTACCCAAGTAGACTAGCACAATCAAACCTTTCAACCCGCATAGTATGTCATTCACATTATAGAAATTGAATCGCCAAATCTGAACCATATTATCTGCTCAGGCAAAGTAAGATATCATTTCAATGACAATGCAATTGCCATTTTGAGGGAGGTGGGGGGGGGGGGGGGGGGGGGGGGGGGGATTACGTTTATGGGGAAACATAAAGATATATTGACGTTTGTGGGGAAACTTTAAGTAATGTATGTGTCTCTCTATAGACAAAGGGCTTTAGCAAACAGGTGGAGGCCTTCTGCCAGAGCCTCCTGGGCAGGTCCAGTATTCTCCCCAGGATGTTATCCACACCCTCATCCACTGTCTCCTATTGGTGGAAAACCAGTTGAATGAGACTCAGGCCACAGACATGAAGGTGAGATACTGTAAGAATGAGGCAAAATAAGGGAGAAACATAATCTCTACTCAATACATTTCTATCTGGACGTTCTGTAACATTGCAGTCTTCTGAACATGCCCCAGCTTTCACGCATCATGGGTCGTATTCATTAGGTACCAAACGGAAGGAAATGGACTGAAACAGGGAGGTACTACCATGGACAGTTTTTAATACTGTATTTCTGTTTGTTTGACCTGCTCTAGGTATGGCATACACTTATCCAGTATTTTAGGCTTCTCAGATCTAGCTACACAAGTCAAATCAAATTCAATCAAATGTATTCATAAAGTCCTTTTTACATCAGCAGTTGTCAGAAAGTGCTTATACAGTAACCCGAACTAGACCCCAAAGACTTGGCAAAAACAAAAGCAATGCCAAGGGGGTAAGGGTTGTTTCTAGATCCATATCTCCCACCGGCTCTCTCAGAGGACCCAGGAGAAGCTGCTGTGGTGGGAGGAGCTGAGGGGTGTGCTGCGGGCCAAGCTGGCCCTGCTCCGGCAGGAGGCGTCCCTCAGACAGGGCCTATTGGGCCAGGTCCTGGAGCAGCTGACCAGTGACGGACACCTGACCTTCACCACCATGGAGAAGACACTGGTCGAGCTGCAACCTTCCCTGACCGAGGGGCTCCAGCACTGCAGTGAAGGTGACTCATGACACAGACACAGATGCATGCACGCAGGAGCATGCACATACACAGATGCAAATGCACATACACACACACACACGCACCCAGGTACACACACACACACACACATGTTCTTAGTTAATCTATAAGGGCACTGCTAAGCGGGGGATTCCTGACACATATTATTGTTCCCGTGGGCCACCAGCTCCAAATAGCCAACTGGTGTGTGTTTTTAACAAAAGAGTGACCTCCTTGAATTCACTATCAGGTCAAATATTGGCCAGTAGATTAGCATTCTAGTTCATGTGAAATCAGTACTGAGAGGGTAGAATTTGGAATATGGCGTCATAATGACGTCTTTGCAACCAGTTATGCCCACTGGGAAGTTGTGTAATTCTGTAATACCCTGCTGGACGTCCCTCCTGAGGAATATGGTGGCAATCTTTCAGTATTATGTGGCCTAGTTTCTCATCTTAAATGAACTGGTTTCTTAAAATACCCCTTCTCCATTGCTAAAAAGATTGAATCAAATAAATGTATAAAAGTCTCAAGTGATTAGTCTTTGAGTGCACTATTATTGACCAATGCAAACCACAATAAAATATAATTGTATGGTTATCCAGTTTTGATATAATTCCATTTGTAGTAATGTAATTTACTACTAACTATAAATGGTAAGCGCATAATGATACACAGAATAATTAAGTGAATTGTGTTAAACTGGTCATATTCTGTGCCAAATCAGGAACTTAGTGAAGTTCCATTGTAATCAAAACTACATATAACTTCATTTTGGATACAGAATGCAGGATAAAGACCAAGGAGCTTGTGTATGAAAAGTGCAAGAAGATCGACTCCAAGAAGAAGAAGCTCTTGAGGACTCAAGCGAAGGAGAGAAGCCGTGTCCTGGATTCTGCACAGACTCACAATGACCCACAGGAATTTGTGAAGGTCAATATCTCTCTTTTAGTAGGCTCATTCGTTCCCTGTCATGTGTCCAGTGCCACAGCAATAGTAGTAGTAACGGTACTGCTAAACTACTTCTCACATTGGTCTATTCACTCACTTCAACATAAAGTCTACTTTGGATAAGTGCAAACTCTGTTTTAGTCTATTATAGTTATCCAGTCTCATTACATTGCGTTGTTAATTGCTCCTGATAACTGCATGCTCCTGTTTAACAGTTCAATTCTCTTCTCCAGTTCTATCAAGAGCTTCTTCTTAGACAGAAGAAGCAGAGCAGTGACTTGGAGCTGCAGCAGGATGGTAGAGTGGCAGAGGCAGTGTGTGATCTTTGGAGGGTAGGTTGTAATTAATGGTACACTACATGACCAAAGGTATGTGGACACCTGCTCGTCGAACATCTAATTCCAAAATCATGGGTATTAATATGGAGTTGGTCTCCCTTTGCTGCTATAACAGCCTCCACTCTTCTGAGAAGGCTTTCCACTAGATGTTGGATCATTGCTGCTGGGACTTGCTTCCATTCAGCCACAAGAGCATTAGTGAGGTCAGGCACTGATGTTAGTGATTAGGCCTGGCTCGCAGTTGGCATTCGAATTCATCCCAAAGGTGTTTGATGGCGTTGATGTCAGGGCTCTGTGCAGGCCGGTCAAGTTCTTCCACACCAATCTCGACAAACCATTTCTGTATGGACCTCGCTTTGTGCACGGGGGCATTGTCATGCTGAAACAGGAAAGGACATTCCCCAAACTGTTGCCACAAAGTTGGAAGCACAGAATAATCTAGAATGTCATTGTATGCTGTAGCGTTAAGATTTCCCTTCACTGGAACTAAGGGGCCTAACCCGAACCATGAAAAACAGCCCCAGACCATTATTCCTCGTCCACCAAACTTTACAGTTGGCACTATGCATTGGGGCAGATAGCGTTCTCCTGGCATCCGCCAAACCCAGATTCGTCCGTCGGACTGCCAGATGGTGAAGCGCCAGAGAATACATTTCCACTGCTCCAGAGTCCAATGGCGGTGAGCTTTACACCACTCCAGCCGACGCTTGGCATTGCGCATTGTGATCTTAGGCTTGTGTGCGGCTGCTCGGCCATGGAAACCCATTTCATGAAGCTCCCGACGAACAGTTCTTGTGCTGACGTTGCTTCCAGAGGCAGTTTGGAACTCGGTAGTGAGTGTTGCAACAGAGGACAGACGATTTTTACGCGCTATGCGCTTCAGCACTCGGCAGTCCCGTTCTGTGAGCTTGTGTGGCCTACCACTTCTCGGCTGAGCCGTTGTTGCTCCTAGACGTTTCCACTTCACAATAACAGCTATTACAGTTGACCTGGGCAGCTCTAGCAGGGCAGAAATTTGAGGAACTGACTTGTTGGAAAGGTGGCATCCTATGACGGTGCTTCGTTGAACGTCACTGAGCTCTTCAGTAAGGCCATTCTACTGCCAATGTTTGTCTATTTAGATTGCATGGCTGTGTGCTCGGTTTTATACACCTGTCAGCAACGGGTGTGGCTGAAATAGCAAAATCTACTAATTTGAAGGGGTGTCCACATACTTTTGTATATATAGTGTATTTCGTGTACCACCCACCTATTTAAATAAAAATAAAATAAAAGAATGCCATTTAGCAGACGCTTTTATCCAAAGCGACTTACAGTCATGCGTGCATACATTTTTGTGTATGGGTGGTCCCGGGGATCGAACCCACTACCTTGGCGTTACAAGCGCCGTGCTCTACCAGTTGAGCCTATTGTATGTGTTTTGTATTCTTTCCTTCATTCTACCTGGTCAAAGAGACTGAGGAGTCTCCTGGTTTTTGTCTATTGATATATCCTAGCCAATAGCCCTAAGCAATCAGCATTCACCTTGTAGCACTGGTCTTTCTAATTTATCATGGTATATCACCCATGCTTTTGTATCTCCAGAGGCATCATGCCAGCTGGTCCAAGAGGTTGGGAGAGCTAGCCAAAGATCTCTTCCTAACTGCTCTCCCTGCTCAGTCCCAGTTGTCCACAGACCAGAGTCAGAGGCTATGGCTGGATCAAGATGGTGAACTGGTTGCACTGCTGCAGCAGGCAGAGGCCAATACCAAAAGGCAACTGGAGGGCCTACGGGCTCAGCTGGAACAAGATGGACAGGTAGGCATACAGACTTAGAAATAGAGCTGACTCGATTTCTTAGTTAACCTGACAGACATAATCTCTAATCAATACATTTCTATCTGGACATTATGTAATGTTGCAGTCTTCTGAACAGGCCCCAGGTTTCACTCATCATGGGTCATATTCATTAGCTACCAAATGGAAGAAAATGGACTGAAACAGGGCGGGACTACCTGGACTTGTCCAATAAGAACCACTTGTTTTTTGCTTTCCGTTATAAAAAGTTGTGCTACGGTGTGCCTTAATGAATACACCCCTGTTTTTAATACTGTATTTCTGTTTGTTTGACCCGCTCTAGGTATGGTGTGAAGAGGCGGTCCTGGTCCTGGCCTGCCTCAGACACCTAGGTGAACAGCAGTTAAAGATCCTCAGAGGCATGGTGGTCAGACAGAGCTACGTGCTGAACAGGTGAACAAGGGAGACACATCAATCCATGCTTTTGCCTGGCAGATGTGCCAAAGTGTATAATAGAATATTCATCATTGACAACAATGGATTTAATACAGTATGTTTCAATGGGTTTAATGTTCACAATATGATTCAGTGTGTTTGAAATCAATGACAAGATATGCATTCGGACATATTGACCTATCACTATTCTGTTTTATTTGATTCTATTCTGTTCTATTCTATCCCAGCCACGTGGGGATGTTGATCATGAAAAAACAGCACCTACTGCTGGCAGCGGTGCAGAGGCACTTTGTGGCCAGACACTTCTGTCTGAGGGTCCTGAAGGAGATGAGACTGTCCAAGCTCAAGGTGCTGTCTCAGAGTGACTTCAGCGCCCTGCTGGCTCTAGTGAATCAGACCCAGCCCACAGTCAGCCCAACAATGACCAAAGCCCAGCATCAGGTCCAGTAACACTTTCACTTACAATTGCAACAATAATAAACTATACTGAACAAAAATATGAACTCAACATGTAAAGTGTTGGTCCCATGTTTCATGAGCTGAAATAAAAGGATTCTATTATAAACTGGGTGGTTCGAGCCCTGAATGTTGATTGGCTGACAGCCATGGTATATCAGAGTATACCACGGGTATGACAAAACATTTATTTTTACTGCTCTAATTATGTTGGTAATCAGTTTATAACAGCAATAAGGCATCTCGGGGGTTTGTGCTATATGGCAAATATACCACGGCTAAGGGCTGTATCCAGGCACTCAGCGTTGCGTCGTGTGTAAGAACAGCCCTTAGCCGTGGTATATTGGCCATATACAACACCCCCTCAGGCCTTATTGCTTAATTCTACTCTACTCTATTTGAGTTGAATGGGGGCATTTCATGCAGACAGAACAGGTACACTTTGTCTGTTAGGGCTAAATTCAAACTAGAGATACTATGGCCTTTTCTCAATTGCATACTCCTCGTGTCCTCTCTCATCGTCGCCTTCTCAAAACTCAATGGATGAGAAAGCCAGAGGTCCCTCCCCTCTGACCTCCTCCAATGGGTTTTGAGAAGGAGACGAGGAGAGAGGACACAAGGAGTATGCAATTGAGAAAAGGCCACTGTATGCGTAACTCAAACTTTCATGTAATGCACGCGTCTTCAATTGATTGAATTGGGGCCTAAGTTAATACGGCTGTCACTGTCACAGAGGAATGTGAACGACGAGAGAGCAGCTCTCAGATGAACAAGGCCCTGCTGAAGGAGCTGGTCAACTGGGGGAGAAAGCCCATGTCCACTGAGTTTCACCAGAGGTACTGTTTCTATACCAACCAATTGCTGTTAACATATTTTATTCCTTCATATTCTCTCTTATGTCTTGGCATGCCAACAAACAAACACGAACTGGCTACATTTTAAGCATGTGCCGATAAATACTGTATGTACAGATCTGGATTCAAATAGTATTTGTTAAATACTCTTGAGTGTTTGTTTGATTGAGCCTGCCTGGGGTGGGCATGGTTTGCACTTTTGGGACTATTCCATTGGTTCCATTGCGGCCAGGCAACCTCAATCAAGTGCAGCTAAAGTTCACACAAAAAACCTAATGAAAACAAATATTACTTTAATCCAGGTCTGATGCTCTGAATATACACTGCTCAAAAAAATAAAGGGAACACTAAAATAACACATCCTAGATCTGAATGAATGAAATAATCTTATTAAATACTTTTTTCTTTACATAGTTGAATGTGCTGACAACAAAATCACACAAAAATGATCAATGGAAATCAAATGTATCAACCCATGGAGGTCTGGATTTGGAGTCACCCTCAAAATTAAAGTGGAAAACCACACTACAGGCTGATCCAACTTTGATGTAATGTCCTTAAAACAAGTCAAAATGAGGCTCAGTAGTGTGTGTGGCCTCCACGTGCCTGTATGACCTCCCTACAACGCCTGGGCATGCTCCTGATGAGGTGGCGGATGGTCTCCTGAGGGATCTCCTCCCAGACCTGGACTAAAGCATCCGCCAACTCCTGGACAGTCTGTGGTGCAACGTGGCGTTGGTGGATGGAGCGAGACATGATGTCCCAGATGTGCTCAATTGGATTCAGGTCTGGGGAACGGGTGGGCCAGTCCATAGCATCAATGCCTTCCTCTTGCAGGAACTGCTGACACACTTCAGCCACATGAGGTCTAGCATTGTCTTGCATTAGGAGGAACCCAGGGCCAACCGCACCAGCATATGGTCTCACAAGGGGTCTGAGGATCTCATCTCGGTACCTAATTGCAGTCAGGCTACCTCTGGCGAGCACATGGAGGGCTGTGCGGCCCCCCAAAGAAATGCCACCCCACACCATGACTGACCCACCGCCAAACCGGTCATGCTGGAGGATGTTGCAGGCAGCAGAACATTCTCCACGGCGTCTCCAGACTCTGTCACGTCTGTCACGTGCTCAGTGTGAACCTGCTTTCATCTGTGAAGAGCACAGGGCGCCAGTGGCGAATTTGCCAATCTTGGTGTTCTCTGGCAAATGCCAAACGTCCTGCACGGTGTTGGGCTGTAAGCACAACCCCCACCTGTGGACGTCGGGCCCTCATACCACCCTCATGGAGTCTGTTTCTGACCGTTTGAGCAGACACATGCACATTTGTGGCCTGCTGGAGGTCATTTTGCAGGGCTCTGGCAGTGCTCCTCCTGCTCCTCCTTGCACAAAGGTGGAGGTAGCAGTCCTGCTGCTGGGTTGTTGCCCTTCTACGGCCTCCTCCACGTCTCCTGATGTACTGACCTGTCTCCTTGTAGCGCCTCCATGACCTGGACACTACGCTGACAGACACAGCAAACCTTCTTGCCACAGCTCGCATTGATGTGCCATCCTGGATGAGCTGCACTACCTGAGCCACTTGTGTGGGTTGTAGACTCCGTCTCATGCTACCACTAGAGTGAAAGCACCGCCAGCATTCAAAAGTGACCAAAACATCAGCCAGGAAGCATAGGAACTGAGAAGGGGTCTGTGGTCACCACCTGCAAAACCAGTCCTTTATTGGGGGTGTCTTGCTAATTGCCTATCATTTCCACCTGTTGTCTATTCCATTTTCACAACAGCATGTGACATTTATTGTCAATCAGTGTTGCTTCCTAAGTGGACAGTTTGATTTCACAGAAGTGTGATTGACTTGGAGTTACATTGTGTTGTTTAAGTGTTCCCTTTATTTTTTTGAGCAGTGTATTATACAGAGAAAGGCTCATTATTTTTCATTGTACACTACAAACCATACTTATATAGAGTTGAACTGCAGAAGAAGAGAATGTTGGAACAGTACGACTTGGAGCAGGAAGTTGCGTGTGAAACTCTGAGAAGAAGGAAGTTACCCCAGCAACATAGCATGGAGAGATGAAAAGGACAGTTACAGGTAAGAACCACTCTATACAACCAGAATGACATTGTGGTTCATCATTGTGATCATTTAGATGTGAAATAAGAGAACGTTCATGAGAGTTGGCAAACATTTTATTTGAAGAATGATATATACAGTGAGGGGTAAAAAAGTATTTGATCCCCTGCTGATTTTGTACGTTTGCCCACTGACAAAGACATGATCAGTCTATAATTTTAATGGTAGGTTTATTTGAACAGTGAGAGACAGAATAACAACAAAAATATCCAGAAAAACGCATGTCAAAAATGTTATAAATTGATTTGCATTTTAATGAGAGAAATAAGTATTTGACCCCTCTGCAAAACATGAGTTAGTACTTGGTGGAAAAACCCTTGTTGGCAATCACAGAGGTCAGACGTTTCTTGTAGTTGGCCACCAGGTTTGCACACATCTCAGGAGGGATTTTGTCCCACTCCTCTTTGCAGATCTTCTCCAAGTCATTAAGGTTTTGAGGCTGACGTTTGGCAACTCGAACCTTCAGATCCCTCCACAGATTTTCTATGGGATTAAGGTCTGGAGACTGGCTAGGCCACTCCAGGACCTTAATGTGCTTCTTCTTGAGCCACTCCTTTGTTGCCTTGGCCGTGTGTTTTGGGTCATTGTCATGCTGGAATACCCATCCACAAACAATTTTCAATGCCCTGGCTGAGGAAAGGAGGTTCTCACCCAAGATTTGACGGTACATGGCCCCGTCCATCGTCCCTTTGATGCGGTGAAGTTGTCCTGTCCCCTTAGCAGAAAAACACCCCAAAGCATAATGTTTCCACCGCCATGTTTGACGGTGGGGATGGTGTTCTTGGGGTCATAGGCAGCATTCCTCCTCCTCCAAACACGGCGAGTTGAGTTGATGGCAAAGAGCTCGATTTTGGTCTCATGTGACCACAACACTTTCACCCAGTTCTCCTCTGAATCATTCAGATGTTCATTGGAAAACTTCAGACAGGCCTGTATATGTGCTTTCTTGAGCAGGGGGATCTTGCGGGCGCTGCAGGATTTCAGGATTTGACGTGTACAGTGGGGAAAAAAAGTATTTAGTCAGCCACTAATTGTGCAACTTCTCCCACTTAAAAAGTTGAGAGAGGCCTGTAATTTTCATCATAGGTACACGTCAACAATGACAGACAAAATGAGAAGAAAAAAATCCAGAAAATCACATTGTAGGATTTTTAATTATTTTATTTGCAAATTATGGTGGAAAATAAGTATTTGGTCAATAACAAAAGTTTCTCAATACTTTGTTATATACCCTTTGTTGGCATTGACACAGGTCAAACGTTTTCTGTAGGTCTTCACAAGGTTTTCACACACTGTTGCTGGTATTTTGGCCCATTCCTCCATGCAGATCTCCTCTAGAGCAGTGATGTTTTGGGGCTGTCGCTGGGCAACACGGACTTTCAACTCCCTCCAAAGATTTTCTATGGGATTGAGATCTGGAGACTGGCTAGGCCACTCCAGGACCTTGAAATGCTTCTTACGAAGCCACTCCTTCGTTGCCCGGGCGGTGTGTTTGGGATCATTGTCATGCTGAAAGACCCAGCCACGTTTCATCTTCAATGCCCTTGCTGATGGAAGGAGGTTTTCACTCAAAATCTCACGATACATGGTCCCATTCATTCTTTTCTTTACACGGATCAGTCGTCCTGGTCCCTTTGCAGAAAAACAGCCCCAAAGCATGATATTTCCACCCCCATGCTTCACAGTAGGTATGGTGTTCCCAACCCCCCCCCCCCCCCCCCCAAAAATAAAAATAAAAAATACACATTGTAAAGTGGTTGTCCCACTGGCTATAAGGTGAATGCACCAATTTGTAAGTCGCTCTGGATAAGAGTGTCTGCTAAATGACGTAAATGTAAATGTAATGTAAATGTGTTCTTTGGATGCAACTCAGCATTCTTTGTCCTCCAAACACGACGAGTTGAGTTTTTACCAAAAAGTTCTATTTTGGTTTCATCTGACATTCTCCCAATCCTCTTCTGGATCATCCAAATGCACTCTAGCAAACTTCAGACGGGCCTGGACATGTACTGGCTTAAGCAGGGGGACACGTCTGGCACTGCAGGATTTGAGTCCCTGGCGGCGTAGTGTGTTACTGATGGTAGGCTTTGTTACTTTGGTCCCAGCTCTCTGCAGGTCATTCACTAGGTCCCCCCGTGTGGTTCTGCGATTTTTACTCACCGTTCTTGTGATCATTTTGACCCCACAGGATCGAGGGAGATTATCAGTGGTCTTGTATGTCTTCCATTTCCTAATAATTGCTCCCCCTGTTGATTTCTTCAAACCAAGCTGCTTACCTATTGCAGATTCAGTCTTCCCAGCCTGGTGCAGGTCTACAATTTTGTTTCTGGTGTCATTTGACAGCTCTTTGGTCTTGGCCATAGTGGAGTTTGGAGTGTGACTGTTTGAGGTTGTGGACAGGTGTCTTTTATACTGATAACAAGTTCAAACAGGTGCCATTAATACAGGTAACGAGTGGAGGACAGAGGAGCCTCTTAAAGAAGAAGTTACAGGTCTGTGAGAGCCAGAAATCTTGCTTGTTTGTAGGTGACCAAATACTTATTTTCCACCATAATTTGCAAATAAATTCATTAAAAATCCTACAATGTGATTTTCTGGAGAAAAAAAATTCAATTTGTCTGTCGTAGTTGACGTGTACCTATGATGAAAATTACAGGCCTCTCTCATCTTTTTAAGTGGGAGAACTTGCACAATTGGTGGCTGACTAAATACTTTTTTTCCCCACTGTATTTCATGTGAATAACTATGAATGTTTCGCTCACATTCAAACAGCTATCCTACTGTATCTTTAAATAGTATGTTTATCAGAGAGTCACCAACATATTTCTCATGACCTTACCTGTTTCTCAGTCCTCTCTACTGCAGCTGACACTGCATCATGGCCTTTGTGTTCATCCATTGTACAGATATAACAAACACACTGCTGATCGGTACGGCAGTAAATATCCAGCAGTTTGTCATGACGAGAGCAGATCTTCTCCTGTAGTTGTGCGGTGGCTTTGACCAGATTGTGCTTCTTAAAGGCAGGAACTTCATAGTGAGGCTGGAGATGAGTCTCACGGGTCAGACACACCAGACAGGACATGCAGGCTTTCTGCTTTCTGGTCCCAGTACAGAAATCACACGCCACATCTCCAAGTCCAGCATAGCACAGAGCAGGAGGGGGAGCAGCCTGGAGTCCTGTCTTCTTCAGTTTTTCCACCACCTCAGCCAACAAGTTATTTTTCCTCAGAGCAGGCCTTGGGGTGAAGGTCTGTCTGCACTGGGGGCAGCTGTAGATCCCTTTGTCATCATCCTGATCCCAGCAGCCTTAAATACAGATCCTACAGTAACTGTGTCCATGGTAAATAGTAGCCAGCTCCTTCAGTAGATCCAGACAGACAGAACAACAGAACTGGTCCTGGTCCAGCAGAACTCCCTGTTGTGCCATTTGGACTATTGTTGTTCACTCTCACACAGACAGATGACACAGAGACTCAGATCAGTTTTGTTTTCTCAGAAACTGAAAAAGTTTGTGGGAGGGACTTTCTGGTCCTCTTCTTCTTGTAACTTTCCGATGTATTGCTGCCTTTCACAGGTTGGCGTAGGTATTACACATACAGTGGGGAGAACAAGTATTTGATACACTGCCGATTTTGCAGGTTTTCCTACTTACTGGTTGGTAGGTGATCAAATACTTATGTCATGCAATAAAATGCAAATTAATTACTTAAAAATCATACAATGTGATTTTCTGGATTTTTGTTTTAGATTCTGTCTCTCACAGTTGAAGTGTACCTATGATAAAAATTACAGACCTCTACATGCTTTGTAAGTAGGAAAACCTGCAAAATCGGCAGTGTATCAAATACTTGTTCTCCCCACTGTATATATACAGTGCATTCGGAAAGTATTCAGACTCCTTGACTTTTTCCACAATTTGTTACATTACAGCCTTATTCTAAAATTGATTAAATCATTATTTTTCCTCATCAATCTACACACAATACCCCATAATGACGAAGCAAAAACATGTTTTTAGAAATGTTTACAAATGTATACAATGGGGAGCGTTGCTGCACAGCTATTTTCAGGTTTCTCCAGAGATGTTCGATCGGGTTCAACTCTGGGCTCTGGCTGGGCCACTCAACGACATTCAGAGACATGTCACGAAGCCACTCCTGCGTTGTCTTGGCTGTCTGCTTAGGGTCGTTGTCCTGCTGGAAGGTGAACCTTCACCCCAGTCTGTCACGATCGCTGAGAGACGGGTCAGACCAAGGCACAGCGTGAAATGCATACATGTTTATTTCAACGATAAACACACGAACAAAACAACAAACCAATGTAACTTGAAGTCAGGCTAAGCACAAAACACGCCTTCACACGGAACAAGATCCCACAACTAATGATTGCCAATAGGCTGCCTAAGTATGATCCCCAATCAGAGACAACGAGCGACAGCTGTCTCTGATTGGGAATCACACCCGGCCAAACATAGAACTACAACACCTAGAACGTAAACATAGAAAATACAACATAGAACTCCACACCCTGACTCAACATACTAGAGTCCCATAAGTCAGGGCATGACACAGTCTGAGGTCCTGAGCACTCTGGAGCAGGTTTTCATCAAGGATCTCTCTGTACTTTGCTCCATTCATCTTTCCCTCGATCCTGACTAGTCTCCCAGTCACTGCCGCTGAAAAACATCTCCACAGCATGATGTTGCCACCACCATGCTTCACCATAGGGATGGTGCCAGGTTTCCTCCAGACGTGATGCTTGGCATTCAGACCAAAGAGTTCAACATTGGTTTCATCAGACCAGAGAATCTTGTTTCTCATGGTCTGAGAGTCCTTTAGGTGAGTTTTGGCAAACTCCAAGCGGGCTGTCTGTGTGGGTTGACCATTTCAGATTGTCAGTGATGTGTACGCCGAGGAACTTTAAGCTTTTCACCTTCTTCA